TAACCAGTAATTTTTGAGGGCGAGAGAAGGGGCTAGAGAAAAGGCACAAATGCTCAAAAAATGCGCTTTCTTCTTACAAACTTTTTATTTCATTTGTAATATTTTGGCTATTTTGCAGCTTTCATCTTACCAGACATGAGCTGAGTGAGAGGACTTGAAAAAGAGCTGCGTTTTGGAAGAAAACACGATTTTAGGATTGCGGTCATAAGATTTTTCGGAATCCTGAAATACCGAAAAATGTCTGGAATGTCCTGTGACTATGGTTTTGCATGCATTGGATTCGCATAGTTTTTGTGGCGATATACCTTTACGCTCCCCATATGCTTTCGGAAAAATTTGTCGGCTTGTAAACTTTTCGATGAGTGAGAAGATATGGCGAAATATCTTTTGGTTTACAGCTGCTATAAAACTTGTAGATGTCATGTAAAAATAATCTTTTGAGGGGAACAGAAATTGACAACCGATTTTTCTGTAAAGTGCTATTTTTTCACTTTTTAAAGGCTTAACCTCCTTTCTTTTCATGTTATTCTTGGCGACATACCTTCTGCAATCAGTTTAATTTTTTGGGATGCTTCCCAAAATTTTTGCGGGCCCGTAACCCCTAGAAACATCCCAAAAACCTTTTTACAAGGCTGTTTCCTAATTCTAAAAATCATTTTAATTATTTACAATCAAACAGTACTTGCACATCTTTATAGTGCATGCAAGTAAATTTTGAAAACTTTACGACTTTACCCCCCCCCCCCTCGGTCCGCCAGTGTTATGTAGAAAATTTGATATGCACTTCTTAACCTTATTATGTGTTGAGTTTTCTGTAAAATTTTCTCAACCTTTGTTTTTTCCTCCCAGGATACAGTGTGAAAATTGTACGCTAACAGATTTTTTGATTCAATTTTATTCTATAGAAGGGAGAAGTAAGACCGTAGCATATGAATCCGATCTTTGAGAGGAAAACCTCAAGAAAATTATTGTTATCATATTTCTTCAATTTTTTCACACCCCTTCTCTTCTTTCCTCATCTCTGCTCTTTTTTTTCTTTTCTAGAAGCATCGTTCTTATCTAGAAAGAGAGATAAGCACTGCTTTACTTTAATCCAAAATATTTGCTTCAAAAATAATCAAATGCATTCTCCTTTCTTCTCGACGACCATATTCTGAAAATTCTACGCTAATCGCATAAGCTAATGTCTTCCCTATTACGAGAGAGATAGGGGCTCTATTTTGACAGAGACGAAGTTGAAGTGGGAGCTATGGAAGAGCGGCACCACTTGACAGAGCAACACACTTGTCTCGAATCCACCTTCACCCTAATGTTTACCGATTAGCCACCGGATTTACATGCACTGTAGTGAATTCGACTCATTCTAACAGCGCTGGCAAGATTTTATTATCTCGAATTATATTGCGAAATGAGCTCGAGTATTTGGTCAAGGTATATCTACGAAGTTATGAGCTAACCTTTGATTCAACTGGCTTGGCTTCGAGAAGGCGGGGCTTTGTGACGTAATTAAGGCTGCTCGCACCTGCGACGCACCTGCATCTCTCTCGCGCGAGTGCTCTCTGATCACTAGCTAGCCTTAGCGAGGTCACGAAGCCCCGCCTTGCCGAAGCCAAGTCAGTTGAATCAAATCGTAGATTGGACTACCGTAGATCGGACTCCGAGTCGCATAATGATTTCAAATGTCACTACAAGGGGATACCAAGAATTCTGAAGAGTCTCCAAGTGCCGGAAGCATGTAAATTCTTCAGTCATTCGATAATTGACGTGATGATTGAGGCAGTCACGCGAACAGGAATTTAAGATAAGGTGTACTTATTCCTGCTTCTAAATTCCGGCATGAGCCTCATTGCTAAATAGTTTTACGCAATTGTACCGATTTTTACTTTGGCGGTAGTGAAACATTATATATTGGTCGTGTCAAAATAGCAAAATTAAAATTGTCATTTTTCATTTTACTTGACATTGAAAACAGTATCCATGCAAGTAGGACATCTGGACCTTTTTTGAAAAATGGTTGTTAAAACTCAACTAAACCCTGTCCGAACGATGACACATATGTTTCATTCATAATTATGTCATCGCTAAATTCTCACTCAAACCGTACCCCTTCCGGCGGATCATAAGAGTCCTCAGGCACGGTGTGGATTGTGCGGTCTTCTCTAGAGTTTGGAAATGTATTCAAGTATATGACAAATAAATCATAAGACCTGCCCTAACACCCTCAAGCGCAATAGATTATTTGAATTTAACCCACTGATGACACGCCTAATTTTGGCGTGTTGAATCGCGTCGTCTCACAGCGGCTGTGGGACGACGCGATTTTGCACAACACTTTCAGTGTGGGAAGGTTTTGCGGTTATTTATGAATTGCAAGCTTGCTTTGTGAACAACCATAAACATTTTCTTGAACGACGGAACCTACAGGTCACAAGAGTGCAAAAAATTGGATAAAATGTTGTTAAGTGGGAAAAAATACTAGGCCTACAAATAATGTGACTTTGCTAGAGGTGTGGGCCACCGGTGCTCCACCGGTGGTATACATCGTCGTCAATGGGTTACTTAAAACCCATATAAAATTCCGTATACCGAGATTTAAGCGGATACTGCTTTTGACTTCTTACGTTCATTTTGAAGGCCATCGCACACAGGGCTCGACACGAGGTGGCTTATGGTAAATACAAAAAACGAAGTCCTCCTTGACTTTCGCGAATTTTCGCAAAGTCCCTGTTGACCCTTAATCCTAAACGTAGAAAACCCTCAAAAACGGAACGTCGACTGGAAACCTCAAAATTTTTATGTCTTTTCGGCCTCAATACGGCACCTCCTTTGCTTTCCGTCCCAAAAACGATATCCAGCTTGCTTACAAGCCACCTGTGCCGAGCCCTCATCATAAAGAAATTTTCTGCTGTAGTGAAAATTACTCACCAATTTAAATTTCACCAGTATTCGACCTACTTTTTGGAACGTATAATAATAAAAAAACTACTTAACAAGAGCAAACATTAGATTTGAGTCTTTTACCATAACTTCACTACATATTGCAAGAAATTGGCGCTCATAATTTACTAGTATGGACCTTACCACAACTTCGTGATCTAGTTAGTGATACACCATTTCTTTTAATTTCACAGCTAGTTCCATACTTGTAATACACACTTTTGGGTACTTCCTGCGTGAGTAAAAAATTAGCTTTTCCTTACCCCTTCTCTTAAAGCGTGGTTGCTGATATAACGGAAAAGATTGCATGTAAAATTTCTCGTCCTTCATTTATTTCGAGAGTCAGCATACTTTTTTCAAAAATCCTCTGAGTTTTGAAATTGATGACAGCAATAACGGTGCTTGCATTTTAGGTTTTTAAAACAATTTTATCTCCCGTCTATCGTTTGTACGGACATTTAAATCGCGAAAGAAGATGATCTACATCCATACACAAAAGCTGCTTGAAAATACTATAGGGAATAGGGACTGGATCAGTAGAGTATCAAGTGAAGCTGATTGTTATAATAATTTTGCAGACAGTGGGGGTACATAGAATTTTTCTTTTGCAAAAAAGGAGAGGGCACAAATTTTTACCAGCAAATCACCATGATCTTTAACTCATGCAAATCACTCCCGAAATTTTCGCGATCCATTCGTCCTGGTCCGTATTTTCTGAAAGGTGGAATTCAAGATTTGGATCATGATTCTACTGATTTTGATTCAACCTTTGCCTTTACGCTTCAAATTTGTTTTTGGAACATTTGACACAATGGAACCTGGTGATTGGAAGAAAATTCAACATCGCTTGAATCATCAAAGCAAATGTTTGCATGAAGAATTGACAAACTGTCCGCTTTTCAACAACACCTTATTTTTTGAATGGTTTCTAAATTCTAGATCTTCGTTTACATTTACTTGTCTGTACTCACTGTAAGGAAAATGAAGCTATGCAGGTAGAATAAGCGTTCCCTGAATTAGAAATCAAGACACTCCTAGATATTAGAGTCCCCTGCAACTCCATTAGGATTTGCATGAACATTTCAGATTTTTACTTTTGTCATAAAGTGATAAGTTAAAGGCAGCATCCAGGCAAGTCTGGGCCTATGAGGATCTCAACTGAAGGGTAATCATGGAGATCTAACTAAAACACTGCCCAAGCGGCAGCTCAAATAGTGAGCTCGGTTGAGATATTCGCATTCAAACTGGACCCCTTGATCGCATTCGCATGGATTCATGGCGGGACAAATCAGTTTCGCGCGAGGACCCACATGTGTAGCGCCATGAATCCATGCGAATACGATCCCCGGGTCCAGTTTGGAGGCGAATATCTCAACTGTGAGTTCACCATTTGAGCGGCCGCTTGGGCAGTGTCTTAGTTAGGGCCCCAAAATCACTTTCCACATCAAAACCCCGTATGTCCAGATTTGCCTGGACGCTGCCTTTAAGCATAGTAAAAAATAAAATCGAACACTATCGAGCAAGGACTTCTTCTTTTATTGTTGCTTCTTACGCTCCCTTCACTTCAGTTCGCTGATCCTGAGTCCTGAAAAGAATGCTACCTCCGTTCTTCTCATCCCAGCGATGCTGCCGCTTGCGGCGCTTGCACAATGCCTACGAGTCACGGTGCTTGAGCACATTTGATCTGCCTCTGGTTGAACTGCTACTCATAGGCATCATCAAAGAGTTAACCAATCTTTGGCTTTTTAACATAAAATTATCTTTACGATGTGATGTCTGTCCTTTTTACGATATCTTACCTCAGAACAAATTTCCATTTTAACTAAAGCTCACGACTGGTAGTTCGCAGTTTTTCTTTACTGAAGAATATTTTCCGCTTTGGGCTCCTTACATGCCAGCATGCAGACCCATAAATCTTGTCAATGTGTACCTTCTCTATTTTATTGCATAGAGAAGCTATTGATGCACATATGATGAAATTTCAGGCGAAATTCTATCGGCCCTATCGACCATTAACGACCCTTATTTATAACCTAGAATTCTATCATTGCCTCTGACAAGGAATGCCATTCAAAATTCCGTTAGGTGAACGAGCCGACGAGCATCGTGTACCGCCAACTTTCATTCGAGTGGGTCAAAAATACCAGATAAATTTTTTGTCAATAAATTTGACATTTTTTAGCCCCTAGCTGATAAACGAGCCGTAGTTGGAGAACGTGTAGTACTACAATGTCAGTTGGATGGACATCCGGTACCGGCGGTTAAATGGCTAAAGGATGGACATAACGTCTCGAATTGTCCTGACTATGAAGTAGGGCATTGGCAATTTGCCAGAAATCATACAAATGCGGTGAAATTGCTATTTTAGTTCGAAGAGGATGGATTAGTACATCGGCTAGTCATCGCACAAGTGCAAGGAGCGGACAGTGGAAGGTTCACAGCTCAGGTAAGTTCATTCATGATTTATTTATCTTTATTTATTTATTCATTCATTCATTAATTCATTCAGTCATTCATTCATTCATTCATCCCTTCATTCATTCCCTAATTCTTTCACTCTTTTCATCTTTTTCTTTTGTTCTTTTACCCATTTGTTTCATTTCAGGCAGCCAATGCAGCCGGTCTGCGTCAATCCACTTGTATTCTCATAGTTGCCCCAGCCCCAACACCAGTTCCTGGAGGAAAACATAATGCTGTGTAGGACCTGCATTTCTTGTTATAATGTTTACCGTAACCATAGCTTGTGATTTAGATACTCGCCGGCTCCACCACAGACACCCATAGGACCTAGCGCACCAATATTTCTGAAAGAGTTACGACATCAACCATTAAAGCCTGGTGACATCATGGTAATGGAAGCGAGAGTAGCAGGTAAGTGGGAGGGGAGATTATGAGCGTATCCTTATAAATATTATTCAGGTGTTCCACTTCCCAAGGTGGAATGGCTCAAGAATGGCAAACCATTTCAAAACTATCGGTAAGTTGCCAATAATTCCAACTTGGGTTGCAAGATCCTTACTACACGTCTTCCACAACCATACAGCAAGCTTCCTCTATTGGGAGGCACAAATTTGGGTTACAATATCCCTACAGTACTCCTCTTTCTCGAGATTGAAGGGTTGTATATAACTAGCACATGTTTGGTTTACGTTGTAGTGAATGCATGCTATATAATAACAGTGGTTGGATAAATTTTTTAAAGACAAAGGGGCAAGGCTCAGGAAGTTTATCGGGGTATAGCTTGTGGAGCCATAAAGCTGGTTAACACTTTTCAGAATGCTAACGAAAATTTTGACAGGAACAATTCAATTTATACAAACTTGTTTAAAAACATTTAATTTCATAAAAGCAGCTTAGCATAATTTTGTAATATTACACAAATTTCAAAAAATTTGCAACCCATTTTGTTAAGGGGGAGCCGCTTCATAATCTGAAAAGTTGGTCATTTTAACCTTTTCTCTTGAGAAACTACCTCGATGTCAAACTAAGCCATTAGTTTTTTCTGATTTTTTGATGCTATTTAAGATACTCCGTGTTCAGGTGTTGGATATATGAATTTTTCTGCAAATAGTTCTTTCTTCGTTTCTTGAACTGAATCCTTGAATTTGCATAAATTTCCTGACAGACAAACAGCGTACAGATGAGTAGAGTTAAAAGAGAATTAGACTAATTGTCTGAAGAAAAAACATTTGAAGAGCTCCGCATAATAATTACAGCCAATCATCTCATCACGTACTGTTGAACAAACCTGTAATTTTCCTTTCAACCTAGACTCACCTTTTCCAGGGCAAAGATCGAACACGACTCTCAAACGGGCATTGTATCTTTGACGATTCCCCAGATGTTCAATGACGATATTGGCGAATACACATGTAAAGCTAGTAATGTCCATGGTGAAGCCACTTCTACTGCACAGGTAGATCAAAAATTAATTTTTTACTGGAAAGGTTAGGGTTACGGTAACGGTGACGTTTTTAGCTACTGGCCAGAGAACAATACGACCGATGGTTTACTGAAGAACAAACACGTTTGACTAGAGATAGGAGACAAGCTCAGGTACTGTGATAAACTAATCGATATATCGATTGATCAACATGTCGGAAGAAGTATTTGGTAATCTCTAAGAAGAGTTGACATTGCATGTTATTTTCTTATATTTTATGATTAAATTTGTCTAAAAATTTATATCATTTATGCCTTGAATTTGTTAATATTAAATAATTTCATGATTTTCTTTTCAATTTCAGCAAGGTAGACCAGCTAGTGTAGCGCAGAAGCAGATGATGAAGCAAGGACGTATTTCAAATGATCAGGACAGCAGTGCTGGAGAAGCGGTAAGTGAATATTCATAGTGATACTAGCTCTCGTCACTTATTTGCGAAATAAGGAGGGAAGGGGGAGGGGGAGGAGGGGGAGAGGGAGGAAGCCAAAGCTGTTTCAGGTGAAGAGATGTGACATTAGACGTATGTAGATGAACTTTTTGTGAAACTTTCAAAATCGTTGTAGGATGAGTAATTCAGATTTTCCATAGTCACTTTAAGTAGGTTACAGTTTAGTTTTTTGGGAAAGGGGGGGGGGGAGGATAGAGTTGTTTCAGATGAAGAGGTGTGGCACTAAAATTTTTTTGAAATTTCTAAAAAGGTTCAGAAATTGTTCCGGGGCAAAAAGTAGAAATTTTTTGAATTCCGAGTATTTTTTTCCTAACAAAGTTCCCAGCTTATGTATTTTAACAAGGAGTTTCCATTTCCTCCGCCCCTATCCTACAAAGTACGGGTTCATTCACCTTAATGGCGCCGTCCACCCAAAATCTCGATTTCAATGTTTTTGTCGCCTTCAGGCCTTCTGAAGGCCCTGATTCCGGATATGGAGTCGAAAATCCGTGAAACCCCCAAAAGTCCCTGTTTCGAGAGCCCTCTGCAACAAGCGCAAGCGAGATAAAGCATGCAAGTGGGCGGGGACCCTGGTCGCCCCTCCTACTTTGCTACTTCCGGAGCGGATTACTCGCTCCAGAAGCAGTCATTTGCGGCGAAGCTTGGAGTTTTGCCTAGTGTGGGGGCCCACACTAGTATGCCATCATAATGTCGCCAACCTCCATTTTGGTGGACGGTGCCTTTAAGTGACGACTCGCCATGATGAATTGATATTTAATAGCTTTTTGTGAGAAAGCAAAGAAAACGAGAGCAAGGGTTACAATTTCGCAGTTTTGCACATCTCACATTCCATTTAATATTTGCAAAAACCCCTTTCCGATTCTAAGCTAGGTATGGTTCGCATATTGCTTCTTGAAGTCTAGATCTCGCGTGTGCGACATATTTTTTGGTCTCCGAGCTTTTTTTCTTGCCCTGCGCTTATAGTATAATTGCACCTTACGTACCATTTATGGAAAGATTGGTTAGGCTCGCAACCTTTTGTGACCGTAATTGGTATAGTGTGCTTTGGAAATGACACATGACATTAGTAACCTATTCAATGTATGGAGTTCTGACTCTAACTCAAGCTTTGTCATAAAAAAGGGTCTGTTTCCTAAAAGAGCCGAGTCCTACTGGGCAGGGCAATTGAGGCGTTTAGGAAGTGGAATTTTTTCACTGCAAAATCTCCGCTTTTGGGATCAATATAGCCGGAATCTCAGAACGCTCTAAAGTCAAAGAGAATGTTCCAAGAGAATACAGAGGGGCAGTAGTTCAGGATTCTATTGTGATCTATTTGATTGGGGCACGCTTTCCTCCTTAACTTTGACTTAACACATCTGTCATCCTTTTACGGGCTCCGTGGTTATTATTTTACTATAAATCGTTTGAAAAATGTGAATTCTCAGTTTTAGCCCTATGGCATCTCCGAGTCGGAAACGGAACCCGAGCTCGCATCGTTCGACACCAAAGGGGCGCCTGGTTCTAGACCCATAGTACGATCTCCACCTCGAGGTCTTCGTCTCACTGAGGGTACCGATGCGATTCTTCAAGCCAATATTGTTGGAAATCCGAAACCTAGAGTAAGTCACACCCGAAATAATACGATCAGTTATGCCAATCAATATATCGATTTAGATATACTGGCTGTTCAATGGCGCACCAGTTCGAATGAGTGGATCGCGAATACAAATGACATATAGAGGTAAATTTGAAACTTAACACTTTTTCGTTGAGTGCTTGGAGAACTTTCTCTTCTTTCACAAATTGACGATAAGATCTTGTTGATAAAATTTTTTTGGTTGTAGACCCCTTTCAAGCTTTCAAAATGCTAACAAGGGAATGGTCAGAAGTCGAAGTGGCCAATCCATACAAGCTGTATACCGATCGATGCAGCATAGAATGCTGATTTCAAATGTGTCTTCCGTATCTGCAGAGCGCTTTTGTGGGCGAAGTTATGAGCAGCTTTACTGCGGAAATGTCGTCCACAAAAACTGTGAAATTAGGCAGATCACTGCTCTTTTAGCTCACCTTTAGGTACGAGCCATATGAACTGACCTAGTTACACGTTTTGGTCCAACACTGAGCCGAGAATGGCTTTGTAAGGCCAATTTTGACCTTTACACGCACAATTTCTTAGCAAAATGATGACATTTAACGGCTTATAACTTTGTCTACAAAAGCGCTCTGCAGATAAGGAAGACAGATCTGAAATCAGCACTCTATGCTGCATCGAATGGTATGCAGCTTGCTTGAATTGGCCGCTTCGATTTCTGACCATTCCCTTGTAAGCTTGACTACATCTTCAGAAGCTTTGAAATCAATAATTTATTCAAAAAGAGTACATTTGCAGTTGGCATGAATATGTATGAGAAATAGTCATTCTCACCATTATACTGAATATTCTGGCGATAGCTTCTACATCCTTCATGAGAATTCAAATTACTAAACTCTAATTTTGCAAAGAACATGTTCTTGTATGGGAACAGAGATAGAGATTCTCTTTTATGAATCCTGAGAAGAGTATTAAAAAAAGAATTATATTGCTAAGAATAGTTTCCAAGCATCTCAGTTTCTTCGATTCCCTAAATGGACTGTAAGAGAGACAAGCATTTCCTAAAGCCTTTATAAGAGTCTATTGATTCCATCTTTGAAGCTTATAACTTTCTTAGCTGTGATGAATTTTTCAAAAAAAAAATTCTGTAACGGTTTATAGTTTCTGTTCCTAAGATTTTTCTTCAGTCATGTTTGTATCCAGAATTGATTAAATAGAGCAATTTGCGTTTCATATCTGACCGCATGAGCTAATGTGGACATAAGCTGACACATAATTGGACATTGGACGACAGAGAATTTGCTGACAAAGCCTTGATTATCGTCCCATTCTATGCTAGGAATTTTGCGTACTTACAGCTTTCGCAAATTTGTATTTTGTTCATCATCCGTACATAATTTACATTTTTGTACAAAATAATTCGCAGTTTGATAACTGGGAATTTTGAAAAAATGTACTTCATCCTGAGAAACTTTTTCCGAGCAGTCAAATTTTACAAAAGTCGAACTATATTCCACATGCATTGCTGAAGCGAGAGATATCCTCATAAAGACCTATGAAACTCAATGATTCATTCTTATGGGCAACTATATCTCAATTTTTCCAAGTAGTGAACTTTTTCTTGATGCTGTTCCGCTAAAATATTGAAAGCACCCGTTTCGACACCTTCTACGGCTAATTTATTAAGAACCTGCTGAATAGTGACAACTTTCGCTTCGCCTTGAAATCTCGATAAGAGATGGGCAGTTAAAGATAAGAAGTTGAGGAAATGATTTCACGTGTTTTTTCCTTAAAGGCAGCGTCCAGTCAAATCTGGACCTATGGGGCTCTCACTTGGAAAATAATCTTGAGGCCCTAAATAAGACTCTGCCCAAGCGGCAGTTTAGATAGTGCACTCACGGCTAAGATATTGGGCTCCAAACTATGCCCCGTGACCGTCGCATGGATTCGTGGCGCTTTTGCGCGAGGATCCATGCGAAATTGATGTGCCGAGCCACGAATCCATGCGAATACACAGTGCATAGTTTGGAGACTGATATCTTAGCCGTAAGTGCACTATCTGAGCTGCCGCTTGGGCAGAGTCTTATTTAGGGCCTCAAGATTACTTTCCACGGGAGAGCCCCATAGGTCCAAATTTGCCTGGTCGCTGCTTTTAAGAAACCGACGAAATGAGGGGTTATTCAAATCTTTTGATATAATTGTAATTATAAAGCATGAAACATTGATAAGATGTGACGTTATGCCTATAAAGAATAAGGTTTTTAAGAAATTGCTTTTAGCGTATTTAGAAATGGCAACATTATTACTTGCTAAAGGAACACAATTATGTCTTGCTAGTGGAATCAGAAATTGAGGTCAAGTAAAATTTTTACATTCGTGAAAAAACAGTATGAAAAAGAGTATGAACTTGACCAGTATACTTTTCTAGAGTTGTGATGGTCAAACCTAAGTAAGCTCGTTTTTTTTCGTCTTCGGTCAAGTCATAATTTACCTCGTACTACTGGCTATGTTCATCTGCGGGTAAAGCCGGTTTGCTCGAAATTGCCCAAGATGAAGGAACTCTTCGAAACTCTTATATTCTCCTTTAACCTACTTCTCATATTTCACAGTTCTGAACACTATCGTTATATGATTTTCGAAAGATTTTGTTAACGGTGCTTCCTGAACGTTTCAATGCAGCCTCAATCATCGATTATTTTCAGGGTCTCTAGCCGTACTGAAGCTCTCCATGGTCACTCCAGAAGACAGCGGAGAGTACGTAGTTGTAGCTGAAAACCCTTTTGGCAAGGTTAGTTGACCAATCAAAGCTTCGGCGGTCTCATTCGCGCGAGATTTGTGCAATTGCACCATTTCTTAAACTTGAGTGGAGCAAAGGGTTTAGCTTCAAAACAAGGCACACAATTCAGATTTCACATCTACCGTTCCATAAAAGTGAAAGTATGTATATAATTACTATTAGAAAACCTACTGAAAGTGCGTATCCTTCAAGAACATCGCACTTCTTTTTCTAAATCTAGAGTGGTGCAGTTTAAGACAGTTTACCGATGCCGCCTGGAACTTTTGGCATTACTTTGTAGGACCAACTCCTTTTGTGAACCCTTGGGGTTCGAAGCAGAACCCCTCTTTGCTGGAACCTTTCCATATGGCTGATTGTTAGGTTTGGCCAAGTTCGATAGATCTAGGCTGGGAGCAGCCAGAGCCAGTCAGCCTCGATCGGTCGGCCGGGGTGTGTCAGACGTTTTTCACTTCGGCCTGTCCACCTACGCGAGTGCGGCGGCGGTGGCGGTGGCGGCTATTCCGTTGGTCGTAATGGCCATCGTTTTAGACTTTTTCGCTTCTTCTTTTATTTTCTGAGGATTTTTACGTCCTGTGGTTCCGTTACTACATTCTGACGGAGGGGAGGGAGTGGGAACTTAATTTTTCATATGGGACTCTTTCAGGAGTCTAGGGAAGGTTGAGGCAGAAGAGGAAGTTCGCGCCTAAGGTCGCGCCGCTCTTACTTGTCTCGAATTGGGATGTTTCCCCGCTTCTTTTCCCTCCCCAGAAGTTTGTTCTTTGTGCGTTTCGTAAGTGATAGGCGCTCGATGCCATGGCGTAATGCTTCAAAATCATCCCAACATTGACTCGACAGTTGGCACACGATCTCGGCCGGCCAAGATCGTCAACGTGTGCTGGCTGTGTGTCGATCGCCGGGCAGATGCGCCCCTTTTGTTTTGCAAAAAGCTGCTTCCTTCACTCTTCGGTCCCCCTCGGACTTCGGCCAAAGCTCGACGAAATTGCCCGCTTACCTCTAATTAAGACCTGTAGCTCCACCACCTCCGCACCTACCTCAGACTAGTACCGTTAGCCATCCTCTATGAATTCTTGCGAGTAGAACCGGTCCGCCTGCCCAAGTTGTGCGGCCTCACGCTCATTTCTATGGTTTTTTGGGTAGATGAGGCAAGCGATTGTAGTTTTTGCACAGTCAGTTGGCGGGCTTTTCGCGTAACGGCTTTTTTGAACTTTTGGTAAAGTGCCCCATAAACAACAGCTTTGTGGGGTGGAGGGGGGAATAGAGAAGTTCGGAAAAAAATATTGGGCATTTTGGGCATTTATTTTTCGTAATCTGGGCCTCCTAATCTCGCCTAACTTTGTTCAGAATAATTGCTGGTGCTGAACTTCGTCATCAAACTTTTATCTTTAATAGTGATTTTTCTAGAAAGTTATCATCATTTCTTATTGGTGTTTATCCTTGAACATAATTTATGGTCTCAATTAGTTTCTAACCTCTCGAGAACTATAAATTAGGCGTATCATTTTCAGACGAATGAGGTCCGTGTAGCTTAGATAGTCGAATTCTCAAAGTTTAGAGGTAGAATATCCTCATTCCAAGCGCCTCGATAATTTTAGCATTCAGAAAATGATGTGAAACGGTTTTTACTTGGTTTCAGACCTTTTCCCTAGGCTTCCTTACTCCTCCCATTCCCCGTTAGTGTATGGTACCTCACAAGCAGTACTCTTTGATTCAACCAAATTGGCGACTGGAAGGGGGGGCTTCGTGACCTAGTTGAGACTAGTGACTCAGAGAGCACGCGGACGTGAGCGACGCAGATTGCATCGCGGACGCGAGCGGTCTTAATTAGGTCACGAAGCCCCGCCTTCAATTCGGTCACGAAGCCTCGCCTTCAATTAGGTCACGAAGCCCCGCCTTCCAGCCGCCATTCCAGTTGAATCAAAGGCTAAACTTGGGTATCTGCTCCTCTTGTTAGAAAAATGCGTTTTTCTATGTTTGATCGATTAGTTTGACCAATGCAATGTAACATAACGGGGACTTCCTATAGAAAAGAAGTTAATACAAGCATGTCGAAAATGAAAGAAGTCAATTGTGCCTTCCAGCTTGATTGTTCTAGTGAAGTCATATCATAAAGTATTCTAGAAGATCTGTAAATGTATTCCACGAATTCAGTTGGATCTTTTCAAAGGTAAAGACATTAAACCTTATGAAAGTCTTCAGCTGTCACAAAGTAAACTTTTTTGAAAGTCTTTAGCTTATAAACATGGCCTTTACCATGCTCTAAAATAATTCGCAGGTCTCGCGAAAAGCGGTTCATATGATTATGGGAACTTTCAAAGGGCTTAATCTTTGAATCAACAGGATTGGTGGCTGGGAGGCGGGGCTTTGTGACCTAATTATAGCCGCTGCCGGCGACGCATTCTGCGTCTTTCGCGCTCATTCTCTCTGATCATTCTCTAGCCTCAACTAGGTCACGAAACCCCGCCTTCCAGCCGCCAACCCAGTTGAATTAAAGGGTAGGTTGCAATTCCCGCAATTGTTCCGCATCTTACCTTTAAATCTACTTCAAATCTCTCGTAACTTAAAGGCAGCGGATCAGCAGAGTGGACCCTTCTCGGATTTTGATGTATTTAGGTAGTAGACCTCCCAAGTACACTATGGCCCAAACTCCACTTGCCAATTAATGCTCTAAGTCCTGAAAAATGCGCTTCAAATCCCCACCAGCCCCGCCCCTTTCCATAGAGTGGGCCCTTATGAAACCTCGGAACTTCCCCAAAGCTTAGGTTGATATTTCTTTTTTTACTTACGCAAACAATGTGCTCTACAGCTATTTCCACTAGACGTTGAGCAAATCGCAGACAGGTGCTTTGCTGTGTGGGAAAAAACCTTTCAATTGCCAGTTTTTATGTAGCCGTCGGTCAGATGGTGCTTCAAGTACCATCTGCTTCTTTGTGTTTACGAAGGCTCTTCACAGAGCTTTTCTTAGAGAAAGTTTTCTATTTGTTGTAGTGAGAAAAACAGAAAAACATGTCTTCGCTTGCAAAGACAATTTTTGCACCTTTGCAGGTTATTTTGGGAAGCTTTGAAGAGTCAGCGCTGTTCTCGTAGCCTATCTTGAACATCGGAATTTCCGCAAGGCTTAAATTGGCGCAAATCCTTGCATCTTCCAAACTTTATAACCTCTGGAATTCAGAGCTTACAAGTGCAATCTTTACAAGCTTTTTCAGAAGAATCATGGCTTATTGCGCAGTACTTTTGATATCGCAGAGCTTTTGAAGTCTTTGGATTGGCCCAAATTCCCGCGTTAGTATCGAATTAATTTTCCAGCCTCCGAAAGTCCCCAAAAACTCCCGAGCACCAAAATTCAGGCTCTTTTATCGTCAGACTCCATCATGCCTATCTTTCGGTGTTGCACTACTTCCGAAGGGGTTGGGTCGGCCCAAATCCCTGCGTTCCTCCCAAAGTTTATTTTTTCACCTGCGAATGTTTCTGAAAACTTCCGGAAACCAAAGTTTGCTTCCCATTACCTCTAGCCTAGCAATATCCATCACTCTTGCGAAAAATGCCTCTCACCTGTTACCGGCGTTGCGTTTTCTCACCCCGTCACCCCTCCCCCCCCCCCCCCCACAAACAAGCGCGATATCCATCATAGCTAGCAAATGCAATTATCTTACGGAATTGTTATCTGAGGCCTATGAAGAAAAATATGGCATATCAGTATTTCGGAACTTCCGCGGGGCTTATGTTTTCGCAAACCCCTGCATTTCTTCCAAATTTAATCTTCCTCCGAAAACCAGGCTTTGCTTTCTTGCCTCTAGTCTTAAGGGAATCCACCGCCCTTGCAAAAAATGGTCGCGTTATCCCCCCCCCCCCCCTCCCTCAGAGCTACCAACAGCGCGATATCCGTCAGTACCTAATGCAATATTTTAACAAAATTGTGTTTTTCAATGCTTATTAGGAAAAACGCGGCTTATTGGTATTTCGCAACTTCCGCAGGGCTTAGGTTAGCGCAAATTTCTTCATTTCCTTCCGATTTTTATTTCCAATCACCTCAAGCCGAAATTCGCTCAACATCACCTCCAGGCTCGGAATATCCGTCACCCTTGCGAAAAATACTTCCCATCTGCTCTTTATTGCATTTTATCACTTACCGTCCTCCCCCCGCATAATAAAAATGAACAAATTGTAACTAATTACTGATATTATTGTATATTGAGAAGCTTTTGGGGGAAAAGCGCTGCTTATTTTATAGCATATCTAGTATTTCGGAACTTCCGCAGGGCTTAGGTTCGCGCAAATCCTCAAATATTTTCCGAACTCCAATTTTTAACCTCCGATGCTTCCAGAAACCGAAGCTTGCTCTAAATTACCTCCAGTCCCGAATTATTCATCACCCCCGGCGAAAAATACTTCTCACCTGCTCCGGGTGTTGCGTTTTCTCACCCCTTTGATTCTCCCCTCCCCCCCCCCCTCCCTCTTCCGCGCTACCAACAAGCGCGATATCCGTCAGTAACTAGCAAATGCAAGTACTTTACGAATCGTCGTTTTCTGAGGCTTACAAAGAAAAATGCGGCTTATTGCTATTTCAGAACTTCCGCAGGGTTTAGGCTTCTGCAAACCCCTGCATTTCTTCCATATTTCATCTTCAAAAACCAAAGCTTACTCCTCTCAATCTTCAGCCTAGGTAATATCCATCACCCCTGGCGAAAAATGCTTCTCACCTGCTCCGGGTGTTGCATTTTCTCACCTCGTTAGCCCCCCCCTCGCTCGCGCTACCAACAAGCGCGATATCGTCTCGGCCATGCCATGCGGCTCTGCCAACAGCACACCTCCTCACCAGGTGTTACACTCTCTTGGCCGCCCCAACACATACACAATTTGCACATCGCAATCGTTTTCGTTTCGATTTATATCGGCTGAGCCTCGCCGACGCTCATAAAATCACCGCTGTTTACTTCTCTAGTCGCAATATCTTCGGCTTATGTCAAGTTAGACCATTTTTCTAGGTTAATGGCTTGTCACTGTGACTCTCAGAATCTTTTGTCGTGAGATTTGTTTTCGCTGCACGCTAGCTATCACAGTAACCATTTTGTTGACATAAAAATGACGCAAACGATTTTGATAGAATCATTCCTTGGTCATTTTGATCAAAGAATAAAATGTAGTATGGCAGAAGAAATAACTCTTTATTAACGGCAAAGAGCACTCCAATTGAATACGGACAAATGGGTTTTTTGGATTGCGAATTTTGCGGGATAGCTAATCAATTGCTAGATGAGCTTATAAATTTCATGCGTGCGACGAAATATGAAAGTCTCGCCCAGATCGTACCATCTGAGCTAGTTTGGTCACCTTTTGAGTCATCGTTAAGCGCTACATCATATGATTGATTCTAGCCGAAAAATTCAACTCCAAACTTTCGCCCAGACCGTACTCTACCCGAGCTGACCTCTTTTCGAGCTTGCTGACTGGTCACTTCAAAGAGAGTACGACATGGAAAGGAGTTTTCTTGATGGTTTCGGTCATAAATGAGAAAGCTGACGCTCCGTCTTCGGCTCTATCAAAGCCTCTCAATCAGTAACCAAATAAATAGTCCATATCCGGACTTGTCCTGAGACCATGCGTTAGGAACGTGACTCAAAAGGGGAGCGGTCAAAACCAGAAGATTTGCGCAATTGCTTATACAAATGTGATTCCCAGTAAAGCATGTCACCATCATCTTCACTGTCGTGTGCATCGATTTTTTAGCATTTTTTCTTCACTTTTTTATTACAAGAGAGCCTACAACTATAGAATAGTCAGTAGTAATACCTGTAAAAAATAATTTTTTTCGAATTATTTTCTCCTCTGATTTTCACCATTCTTAATTTTTGGTTGAATGATAACAAGGGTTGAGGGAGAAGGATGTTAACACAGAAACGATGGGTGAAACTGAGTGTACTTTCTTTTTTGGTTGATATATCTTGGACAACTTCAGAAAAATTTGAGCGTCTTTTTTGAAATTTTATTATACGAAAAAACTATCTATTTATTATATATTTGCTCACACTTTGCGCTTTAATTGGTTATTTAAGCAGCTTTTTGTTTTTGAATTTGAATTTTTCTCCAAAAGTTACAGTTTCATCTGCGTAACTAAAACGATTTCAATCTGAAATACAACGATGCAGCTAAAGGGTGTGTTAGAACAGTTTTTTGTTTCCAAATAATTTTTTTGCTTGGTAAGCGATGCAATTGACTTCCTGCGAATTTTCGTTTGAGGGTCAATGACACCACGCGCCTTTTTGGCAACCATCCACGTTGGAGAGAGCCTTATTTTAGGATCTAACCATAAGGTCCACTCAAAAATCGTTCCCTTAGCTGGTGATCACATGAACCTTGATATAAAAGAAAAAAACGAAAATTTCACCACAGCTTTTTTTCTGTTTCCAAATTTTTCTAATCCAATCATTTTGGTTTTCTCAACTTTCGAACAGCTCAGGAAGTGATACACGAAAGTAACAAACTTCGCCATGATCCATAATTATGAGCGAACATATGCTTGACCAGGTGACACATTAGTTGTCACTGAACATTTATTTTCGAATCTTGGAAACATGGTTATTACACCGTCAAGAAAGCACGAGCAAGCTAGGGACCCACAGTAAAATTAAGAGAGAATTGAGGAAATTTGGTGCGTGCAGGAGGGTGCGGGAAGAGAAGGTGGAGGGGCGGGGAGGGAGCGGAAGGAGGAGCATGAAAGGCTGGAGATTTCTGGTAACATTTTGGGCAGTATGATGTTAAATACGTGCAGTGCAATGTTTATGCAATATATAAATAAATATATAAATAAATGAATAAAGCGTGAATGCCTTTTTCAAGGAGAGGTAATAACTTTAAGGTGTACTGCGATGCAATAATAGTGGATAAATTGTAAGGACTACTGAGCCAATTTTTTTGCAGATGCAAAGGGGGGAATAGGACAAAAAAGCTTTTTTTACAAATTTATTAACTTGTCAACATGTATGTTTCACTGCCTGACCTAAGTGTTCCTTGACCTCGCAACTTTAATTCAATTCAAAGTCTTTAATTTTTTTCGTTTTTCTAACCCCTCTCTCTTTTCTTACCCTCCACACGATTTTTCTGATTTTTACAGCCTCAATATTGCACTTTCTATCAAACTGCACATTCTCAAAGCCCCCCGCTCAAGTCACATCTGTTTGCCGTGAGATTCTCTTCTAGTACTTCAATGCGAACTGTTTCTTTTATCCACTTGTTACGTGCAAGCGCCCGTCAGTCAACCCCGTCGTTGCGCGTTCCCCTTCATATCCGCGCTCGCGCATGAACGGGGTAAATATTTGACACTATAGGCCTCCTTTGCGAGGAGGTACAGATCCACTTCATCAATCATAGTTCTCAATCACACTGATTCGCTTAGATTGATGAGATTTTGCAAGTGCAGCCATTATTTTGCTTGCTCTCGCTCCGCCCCCCAGGGGCTCTCTGCATGCCTCCTACTGAGCTGTCACATCCCTAAATCCCTTAGAAAACTTAATAGCATCGAAAATGAATTAAAGGTAGTACACCTACCGTATAACCCCCACATGTTGAACTCTCGCTTCTAAGCTGGTCCTCGTCCGAGTTCTTCATTGTAAAGTGTGCGCTGAGGTAAATAAAACGCCCTCAGGCAGTTTTTCTTCACGGCCTTCGCTCAGTGTAAACTCGATAACGCTTGGGAAATTAGCCGAAAAGGTGTGGGAATTTGAAAGATGGACGCAATGGGAGGGGTTTTTGTTTGTGGAAAAAAGCTCTGAATTCCATATATGGGGCCATGAGAACAGCAAATAACAGTTAATAAAGAATTTTGAGAGCATCCTAGCGCAGAACTAGTCCGATGTGGGACTGTGCACCTACGATGAAGAAGGATCTAAGAGGAATGAGAGAGAGATGGAGAAAGAACAAGGTTTAAAATGACTAGATATGTGTTAGGGAACACTTGGCGCAATTGAGCAGAATTTTTTGGCTCCGGCGTTCATTTTTTGTCAATTCTAAAATTCTTAGGAGGGCAATTATCTCTTTTCTTTCCAGTATCCCTCTCCCCTTTCTTTCATCATCATTCATTTGTTCAGGCTAAAATGCAGGAGTAACATATTCCATAATACTATCAGATCACTATCAGTACGAACTTTCAAAAAACCTTTTATTATTTCATCAACTGAATATGATATGTGGGTTCTCTCACCGGGAAGTCCTCCCTGTACTTTCTTTTACGCTGTGAATTCGTATATTCCTATTCAGATTTATTTTCAGAATGTACGCTTCAAAAAAAATCAGCAAACTTTTTCTTTTCCTTTCTCCTGATCACCACCTTCTCTGCTTTTCTTATGACCCATTTACGCGATTTATTGAGCCAGTGATGTGGTTGTACAAATCAGGGCAAAAACGATGGCAAAACGAAGTTCTGTGAAATATTGCCGTATCTGAACATTTGTCTCAAGCACACACACGTCTCTTTTGAATCTAGAGCTTTTCTGCCTTTACCTTACTTTCTGCATACACTTCATGTTGTGCAGGTCAATCAGCTATTTCATCGAAATAATGGAGGCGGTTAACCTCGACAAAAGCACTGGGAAGTTTTCAAATTTGGTCTACATGAAATGATTTTTTAAGAGAATGTTTCCTGTGCAGTTAAAAGATTGTCCCGCAAGCCTTTTCATATCTAACTTTTCACCAGCATAAGTCGGCTTTTCTTATTTCTAATGGAAAGCAAGCTCTACAGTATGGCTTTCAGAAGTTCGTACCAGGCTTGATCCACATCGAGTTCTAAAACAAAATGGAAAAAAATCCCAATTTCCAAAATAACGAAAATAATCATATCTTGTTCAAAAACATTCTGCGAAGTTCCCACTTGCTCATGCATATAATCTATCCACCAGATATTTACATAAACACTTGCTGAATTCCTCTAATGGCTAGAAATCGAGAAAAAATAATTCCTCTTTCCAAACTTTGCCTGTAACGGTTCTATGCTCCTTGCAAGTATGTGATTATATAGCTTATTCACCCAGAAATACTCCCACAAATTTGCACTCATGTGGATGCCTCAGTTGAAAAGACTTATGAGACAACCTACTATTTAATGGTGGGGCTAAAGCCACAGCTTTCTTTATAAGATAATTTCTAAAGATTATGTTCATAAAGATTTTGCAGAAATTGTGGTCTTGTTGAAGCCACAGCCCTTTGTAATGTAAATATTTATGTTGCTTCCTCTAATCCTTTGAGAATAATTTTTTGCTACTGCTACTATTCCCACTCAGAAAAGTCTCATACAAAACAATGTCCTACTTTTTCGATAAAAGATTTTGAAAATAATTAATAAGGGTATAATCAGTGTCGAATAAGATATCAAATCATGCTTTCAAGTCGGCTTTATTTTTTTTACCTTCTTTCTTTCCCCGGCTCAAATGCTTGGCGTTTGATAGATTTCAGAGGGGGAGGGCATAATGAAACCCCTCTCTTTCCTAATTTCCTAGTGCTCAGTGTGCGCATTCGCCTCATACCACTTGCTTCATCTAAAAATAATTAATGTTTATTTTTAAGGTTGAGAGTGCAGCTCGCATCGAGGTCTACCCTCTTAGCGCGCCTGACGATCGAGTCAAAGAGCAGCAACTCAGAGAACATCAACAGGTGAGTGTGTGAGAGAGCACACTTGAGAAGAGGAATTTCCCTCCTTGTTTAATCGCTCACAGTTTTTCAAGCAAAACTAGACAGTCAATGTTTAAACGCAAAGGTTTTTTATGTGAATTGACGCTTGACAGCTCGAGGGCGAGAGGGTTTCCCGGAACTTTCCTGATTTTCTGAGAATTTTTTCATTACAGTATCTACAGCAACAGTTACGATACGAGAAAGCGCTTGAACGTGAACAAATCGAACGTCGAGCTCGAGAAGAAGAGAATCTTCTAATTCGAGAAGAGCAGGAACGACTTCGACGTCTGTTCGAGCGTGAACGAGCCGAGCGAGAACGCCTCGAGCAGATCCGACGACGAGAGGCCGAGGAACGTGAACGACTTCTACGACAACATCGTCAAGAGGAACAAGAACGGGCCAGAAGGGCTGAGGAAGAAAAGCGATTGCGTCAATTGCAGGTAAGAACTTACCCTGGGTAATCAATTTCTGAATTTTTACGCGTTATGACTCATCTGTTACACTTTCTTTGATGGATTCCCTGGACAGATCCCAGATAAGAATATTGATGAATCTATCACTCATTCCTCCTCCACAATCCCATCCTGAACGGCCCTGGAAAGAACTTACCCTGGGTAATCGATCTTTGATAAATGGTCCTCCTACGAATTACCCTCGGTAACCAATATCTGATACGTAGACCTGGAAGAACTTACCCTAGATAATCAGTTTTTAACGAATGGCCCTGGTGGAAACTTTCCTTGGGTAATCGATTTTTGAATTGACACTGATAAGAATCTGGATAACCAATTTTTTTATAAATACTCTTGGTGAGAACATACCCTGGGTAACCGGTAACTGGTTTGAATTTTCTGGGCTTCCATGACTCATCTGCTACACTTTCTTTGATGGTATCCTCGGAGGAGTCCCAGGGAACAACATAAAAAAACTTACCACTCATTCCTGCTCTGCCGAGTTTCGACCCCGCTCCCCCCTCCCGATCCCACTCATAAATGGCCGTGGTAAGAACTTACCTTGGGTGCGATTTTATCCTGGATTCCTAGATTTTGAGAAATGGCACTGACAAGAACTTACCCATGGTTACCATTTGTCATGGCACTGGTAAGAAGTCGCCCAGAGCAACCGATTTTTGGTAAATGGCCCCGATAAGAATTACATGTCTAATCGATTTTAGTTCTATTGGTACCTATGACTTATGTGTTACACTTTCTTAGATAGATTTCTCGGATCCCAGATAAGAAGACTGATATTCCCATCACATACCTCCTCTGTCAAGGCTAGTGATCCACTCTTCTCCCCCACTCCCCTCACATTTCCGAATAACCCCAATGAATCTTTTTTCTTTTACCTGCAAGATGACGCAACCCGCTCTTGAATCATGCGTCGATAAGTCGCCTAATGTTGACCATTCACTCCTAAGATCCGCCCCGCCACCTCCGCCCCCATCTCGAATTTTTGCATCTGCGGGGGGAGCAACCAGCGCGGGGCGAAGGTGGGATGCTCTATCCACCCAGCTATCGGCTGCAAATCTCAATCCCTGGTGCTACAGTTATCGAAACCACTCGACACTGTCGGCTTGATAGCTGCGCTTCCATAGGCAAGCTCGTCCGGCAAGATCCTCTATTCTGATTTTCTGTGGCTTTCTTTATGACTCTCTAGAAGTTTTCTGACCAGTTCAAAATGATAATATGAGCCACACTTGGTAGCCACTGTTGGTTTGATAGGTTCGTTACGGAGAGGTGAACTCGTCCCACGAAAGTTCCTACTCTTAGACCAAGCTTTGCTTCGAGAATGCCTGGACGAGTTACCCTTATTATTGATGTGCCTCATTAAAATGATAAGATGGACCCATTTTTCAGTCGAAACAGTGCAAGTGTGCATACAGTCATGAATGATTTATGAAGTCGTCCCCATCAAGCTAATGTGCCTTATAGTTTGGACGAGTTGCCCGAAGTCAATGCATTCTCAATCCCCTTTATTCTTGCTTTGTCTGTGTTGTTACATAATGGCATGAGGTGGGAGTAACTCGTCCATCAAAATTGGCAGAACTATTCTTCCATTGCTCTTCCAAAAAATTCAAAATTGTACGATTTGGACGAGTTTCTCAGAGAAGCTGTTCGCTTTCCATACTTCCTTCCCTATTTTTTCTCTTTATTTCAGCATTTCAATGCAGGGGAGAGTAACTCGTCCATTGAACTCAAACTACACATTCCCCTTTTCCCATATAGATATTTGATTTTCTAATTTTGTTTGCAAAAGTTGCTTCATCATTCACCGTAACATTTGAAACCGGCTGTGATTTCATGGTACAGTAATCTTTGGAACTACAGTAATCGATCCATCGTTCAGATTGTCAGCTCGTCCTAAGCGTTAGCTACCATATTGTCCAAAAGCGTCTTTACACTACCCTTTGATTCAACTGAATTGGCGGCTGGAAGGCGGAGCTTCGTGACCTAATTATGGCTAGATAATGATCAGAGAGCAGCCACACGAGAGAGGCGCAGACTGCGTCGCGGGCGCGAGCGGCCTCAATTAGGTCACAAAGCCCCGCCTTCCGAACGCCAAGCCAGTTGAATCAAAGGTTACATATAAGAACCAAGGCAACTTTATGGTATAGGTAAACTCGTCCATTTCTCAATATGGAACTCGTACGCTTTTTCCCTTCTTTTTAAGCTTTCGTTAATTGCCATTTTGTTAATTTTTTTGAACTTAGAGACCATACAGATCAAAATCAAGCCGAGGTATAAAATGAGAGGACTCGTTCAGCTTATTCAAGATGACTCGAACAATTTTTTTCTCTTGATATTTGTCTGCTTCCTCTTGTAGAAGTTATCTGTCTATTACTTTTTGAGCTAACTTTTCTTTTCGATTCGTATTTTTAGATTGTTTTTCATAGTTTGCTGTATTTTTTCCACAGAAAATCATGAAAATTGTTTTTCTCCAAAGTGCCAGACCAAAAACCAGCAATTCATCCGCGACCACTCGTAAAAGCGCCTGTAAAACGTTTTCTTGACTTTTCTCAAATTTTCTTCGCCAGTAAACGTTTGATGTTCAGCTATGTACATAATTTTAAGCTGAACTGCAGGACCACTGCACTACTTGAATACGATTTTTATTGCATCGAGCGAAGTTGTCATCTCTTTTACTGTGCTCCCTCTAGCAACTGGTGCAACATACGCTTCTAATCCATTTCTCGCTATTATAGGGCTGGAATCTCGACGCATCTTACACTTTTGATGTTTTGCAGAGATAAAGAGATTCCTTTTCACTTGCTGCATGATGCAGAGAGCTTTGATTTGTATTTCCATCACCTCTTCCTTTTTTTTCTAATTGTGGACACTGAAGTTTGATAATAAGCGTGCAGTTGCTTCTAATTTGCTAATTTGTATAGACGATCTGAAAAATCTATGGAATTACAGTATTTATTTATTAAACTTATTTACTGCTTTTTTCTACAAATCGTAGCGTCATCTCAAAATACAAGTTTTGAAACTATCAGAAATTCTGCTACTCAATCAAGCTAAATTCGAAACGAGGGCTCAGAATTTTAGAGGTAAGGCAAGGCAGAAATTCTTTCAAATACCCCGGCCCCACCTTGGCCAAGCCCTCCGAAAGATTTTCCAGATGCTTCTCAAATTTTTTACAATTGCACAGACCTTGACCTTCACAGCATTGCATTTTTGTGACTTTTATTTCAATAGAAGGGACGCGGTTCGAAAGAAGATCTTTACCAATCTTTGGGCTTTTTAGATTTTTAGAAAAATACTGTAACTAAGTACATACGAAAACAAGTCAGTGCACAGTTATATAACATATAGGTTAATTCTAGAAAAATTTTACTTTTGGAAAAAAATCGTGGCCCAATCCCCCCCCCCCCTTGTTCCGATAATGCTACACTTATGTATGAAAAAGACTCCGTCATAATCTCGTCCTCTTTCATCCCATTCTTGTCCATCCCCCTCTTCCTCCCTTAAAAATGACACTCCCTTTCAAAGTTCCTTGGGTGTTGTCCTGATGGGACTATCAAGCTGGTTTGTGTAATCTCTTCTTGAACTTTTCTAAATATTTGAAACTTCAAACCTCCTTTGTATGTACAACTAAATTTTTAAGGATTGCATTCATAATCATTAGTTGCTCATGTATCGTTTTTGTTTTTGATTCACAAAATTTCCGTGTTGTGAAAATTTACAGCTGTACTTTTCAGTGGACCCAACCCTACCATTTACAATATCCGACACAGGTCCCTCAGTGGAAACCGATCGGATGTGAGTTGGAGCGGCTGTTCTCGCAATCAGTCATATTTTCATATAAAATATGTATTTCCAGATACTCAAGAAGTTGAGTATCATCCCACTCATCAGCACCAGCAAGAAGTCCTTTACGAGCACAGGAATATCCCACAAGAGACTTACTATAATCAATCGCCCAGAGTAAGATTTAGGTCCTGCGAGGAAGGTGTAAAATAAGAGAATTTTAAGCAGCAGCAAGACTTTTATCGATCGTACGAAAGTGAAAATCAATTTCGTCAATTCAATCAATACCAGCAGCATATCGAAAGTCAACAGCGGTACCAAAGCTACAACATGCCGTCGTTGAAGCCGCAGCAGCAGGTAATGCAGCTCCCACAGTGAATCTACAGTACCTCTACAGTATCCCAACGCAATGCTATCACAGGTCAATGCCACAGATGGACTGGCCAATGGCAGCTCGATGATAAGCTCGTCGAGGAAAACCGGCCAACAACATGGTGCTGCCCTACAGCCGGTGGGCTACTCGCGAAAGTTCTGCGGAAGTTCCGATATATTCAAAAAATGTTTCAGTCGCGTCCACCGCAATTCCTCGTCCATCCACAAGCCGTGGCTGCAAAAGCCGGAGAAACTGTGACCTTCACAGCAAGGGTGGGTTCATGTTCGAAAATTTTTTTGAATCTTATAAAATGGTGAGAAGCGCAGATACTGGTAGCTTCTGTCTTTCGCTTATTGTAGCACATTTTTTTTGCAGAATAGGAAAAAAACGGGAGCCAATGAGAGGTTATGAAATTCGTTGTAGGTTTCCCAAAAGGCGCGACATTTGCGAAATTTGGCAAAATATCGTTAATCAAATGCACGAGTCATATAAAATCACAGACTTTTTTGATTTGTAAATCCTTGCAATATTTGGAACTCCTGTAAAAATCGATTTATTTTGTAGACCAAATATTTTTGAAAGCGTGCCCTAATTCTCCTTTTTTGGAGAAAGAATTATTTTTTCGGACCTCCGGACTTGTTTATGTTTACAAACTCACAACTTCGCCACATTACACACCCATGTGTTTGGGATGAGTAAGTGTGATGGATGGCGATCATCTTTTCAACTTTGTTTACTCGGTTTCAGGGCTAAGTCACGCTTGGGAATCCTGGGAGCGTTCCCGAGCAGTTCTGATAAATCTGGGAACGATTATAAATAGTATATGAAGATCTTGCTGCTTGCAAAGAGCAGGAGGAGATGGGAAAAATGGAGCGGGGGGGGGGGGGAGGGTGGAAAGGAGGGGGAGACGAGGAAAATGTGAAAGTTTTACAATGATGTCTAATCTTTGGAGAAACTCAGCTGCCATTTTTAGAATCTTTTGAGTGTAACATTATGTAAATAAAAAATTGTTTAAGCAGATTCATATGGTTATCTTTCAGGCTACCGGCAGTCCCATCCCAACTTTGGAATGGATCCGAGCAGATGGAAGTGTGATCCAAAGTGGTGGAAAATATAAAATCGAACATGGAAGCAGCGGTGATAGCAAGATGATCATTGAGAAGGTAAAAGATAGCAATTTTACTATCACCCATTGATTTGTCACTGTCATTGTCATTTGTCACTTTAGGTTGACGCTAATGATGCTGCCAATTACGCTGCTGTTGCTAGAAACAGTGGAGGAACGTTCCAAAGTCGTTTCAGTCTGGTTGTGCTGCGTAAGTCCAATCTGCCTTTTTTCCGTGGTAGGACCTTATGTTAGCGGTGGGCCTTTCTCGCGCGGAAGTCTGCCACAAACCATGCACCTCAACACGTTACACCTTATATCAGTTGTCCGCGTGGACGGGTACCATCGGCTACATAACTTCGTCTACCCTTTCCCTTTTGTCATTCCCAGCTGAAAATAATACTTCCTAAATTTCTAGAAGCCCGACCACCCGAGGCCCCCGAATTCAGTGGAAAATTCCAATCCACAACCATCTATGAAGGAGACTCGGTCAAGCTTTTCTGTAGGGCCAATGGCGAAAAAATCACTTTCAAATGGTTCAAGGATAACGAAGAGATTCCAAATGCTCCACCATACAAGTACTGCCAATTTTTCCGGAAAATTCCCCGTTTTTGGCAATATCAATTTTTTCAGAATTCAAAATGGACCTAATGACACAACGTTGATGATCGAGAATGCCACATTGGCTGAAGGAGGCAATTATCGTTGTGATGCGACGAATAAATTCGGAACAACGGCTCTGAATGTGAGAATTTTCCAAAAATTTTCTTAGAAATTTTCAAAAAATAAATTTTCAGGGTCGTGTGGTAGTACAAAGCCGTCAGAAGTTTGGTGCACCACATAGGGAACAAATCACGTTGCGAAAAGTTGATCGACGGCAGGCAAGGTAAAGAGATTTCTGCTCCCGCTCCGCCCCTTTCTCAGAGATTCTTATGATGCCCGCTCCTCCTCCGCCCCTTTTGCAAAGATTGATGCGATTTTCGCTCCCTCTCCGCCCCTTATTCAGAGTTTGGTGTAAATTTGCTCCTTATGCTCTTCCTTGGAGATTCATGCAATTCTGCTTCCGCACCTTCCCTTTCTCCCAGATTTGTGCAGTATTCTAAAAATGTGTGATTTCCAGAACCCCTGTCAATCAGCTCCAAGATGCAGCAGCTTCTAAAGCGGCTCCTACCCTTTCTGGTCAACTTCAACCCCTGAACCTCATCGAAGGCCAAACGGCTCGACTTGAAGCTCGTTACACCCCTGCTGATGACCCTAACGTTAAAGTGGTGTTCCTCCTGAATGGAAAACCTGTGCAAATGTCGTCTCGTGTAACTATCGTGAACGAGAAGGGCATCGCCATACTGGAAATCAGTCCGGTTACGGTATTCGATGCTGGCGAGTATACGGTAATCATTGTGAATCCAAAAGGAGAAGCACGCGCTTCAACGAAGTTGACTGTGATTGGTAAGTTGGGAAACCGCCAAAAGGGAAGAAAAATTTAATTTGAATTTTAGGTCACACCACCGTTGATCAGCCAACGCTTGGTAATAGCTTTGGAACCGCTTACCAGTCCAGAAGTATGGGTCCACCTGGTATTCAGCTAGGTAAGTTAATTAAAGTTTGATAATTGTTTCTCTCCGTTAACTGTTTTACAAAAAACGGTGGACAAACGCATAAAAAAATGATGTAAGAAAAACTGGTACTAATATCAAAAAAGCGAAAATTTTGCTGAAAAAATTCCAAGATTAATGACTACTATACCTAAGAAGCTTTCTATTTACAACATTTTGACATCAAAAATTTTTTTGTTGAACTTCGGACTCACCGAAGCTCAGAATATACATGAAACATTTTTAGAAAGTGGCTAATTATTTCCTAGCAATTTCGCGCATACTGCCCTGTTTTTGCTAAAATGTAGCAAAGTTTCGCAAATTTCTTCTAACTTTACTGCTTCTGCATTTTTCTTTGCCCTTGATTCAGCAATATCGGATCTCATTATCTTGATAAACTACTTAACACTCAAATTTCCTTCACTGCTGTTTTATTTTCGTTTTCTAAGTGTAAAATCATAAGAGAACTGGAACGAGAAAGCGAAAGCATTGCAGAGTTCTCATTTGTTTTTTTCTACAATTGGCATCATTTTGTAAATCTTGTACCTCTTAATCCCTAATGATAGCCATTTCGCTTTCCATCCTAATTACACTCTTTTACACACTTTAATTCCCTGATGCAATAGCATTCTGCTGTAATGTAATGTTATTAGTTGATAAATGAAATTCAGACTGCATAGTCTCAGTCTAACAATCCTTGACACTGAATTTGCTCGAAAAAGTGTAGGGATGGGGAGGAAAGCCTACAAAATTATCAAAGGAGTTTGAAACTATTCATTAGAGTTAGTTACAAGTTGAAAGACAATGGAATTCACAAGAACAATAAAAGCAGAAAAGGTTCTTAGGCAATCGCAAATGATTTCCGGGGGAAAACTAAACTTCTATAACATCCGGATAGACGCTCCTATTGGGACATGTGAATGGGCCCAGCCGTACCTGGTTCCGCCCTACCTGCGAGCTCCACTAAAAGTGTCCTTTCGAAAGTTCTAAAACTTCACTTTTCCCCGGAAGTCATTTGCGATTGTCTGAGTTTATGTGCAGCAACAATGAAACAGGGTCAGCGGTGGCGCTCCGAAAAATTTTGTTAATATTTTCTATTTTATTTTATTTTGTTATTATTTTGTTTATTTTATAATTTTTCCTAGACTTGCATTTGTGGTAGTTTTTTAATAAAAAATTCAACACGCTTTGGTCGACATTCGAAGTCCTCCCAATTGAAACAGTTCTTAGATATAAGCAGCGAAAATCAGTTCCGGAAATATTGTGCAAAAGTTCGAAGCCGTTAATGGGACAGACTGCCTCACAAAAATTGCTTTGCATCGGGAATTCCTGTTTCATGAAATCCATGAATTTGCTTCATTGGTGTTCCCACGGTTAGGAACCATTTTCATCGAGACCACTAGAATTTTTCTACCGTAATCTTGCCGTAACCCGCTTCTATTTAGATCTGCCAAACTTCCACTCTGACTTGCGGTCACACGAATTGTTCGAAGGACAACCAATTCATCTCGAAGCGAAGCTTACACCACTCAACGATGAAAATCTTGTAGTTGTATGGTATCTGAACGGACGCGAGCTTATGAAAAGTACCGTAATCCTACCGTAATTCTCGCTTTTCATTCATACGGTAAGAGAAAATCTTACAGATGACCGATGCAGGCAGACACTCCACCATGGTTTTGCCACCCTCGACATACTCGACTCGACCAAAGACGATAGCGGTGTTTTCACTTGTCGCGCGATCAATAAACTTGGACAAGCTGAAAATCAAGCCACTGTCATTGTGCATCGTAAGCTCGTTGGACAAAAATGCTCACGTCAATAATTTGATGACTTTTGTTTCAGCTCGCGTGGATTTGCACAATTACGAAGCGAATCGACATCTAGACGTAGACGATGTGCGAGAAATCCAGTTTAGCCACGCAAAACAAGACCAAACGCCGAAGTTTTTATCACCGGTACGGTAGCTTACAGTAAGCTGAGAGTGATCAAGTGTGTGCAAACAGAAAGCCGATTTAAAAACAAGACAGTGGGTGTCATAATCAGGAATCTTTTCAAGTACTTTTCTTTCTGGAGACTTGCAGAGCGGAACAGCCACGAGATTTGTGCAAAAGTTACCAATTTGTAAAAGAACGACAAAGTATGCAGAATGTATCATATGTTTAGTGATGTATATAAAGAAGGCTCCTTGTCTTGGTTCTGACTGGATTCACATATAGTTTTGCGAAATTATTCAGCTTGAACCTCATGCACACCTTTATCAGTGACATTTACATATATTATAGGCATAATTTATAGAAACTTTTTTTCTCAAAAGTTTAGAACAAGTATGAATAAAACTTCAACATTTTTTTGTACTCCTTCAGTATTAAAACAGGTTTATAACTTTTCCTGCCTGAATAGAGGTTAAGATAATTCTTGTTAAGAAACCAGAGTTTTTTTTTTGGAAGTGCAAAACTAGAAAGAGCAGAGAAAAGTGAAAGTAAGATTACATTAAAATGTGGTAGATGTGCGTTAGAAATCAATTTTTTCAGCTTTCAGAATGCGTTGAAAACTATTTTTTTGTTTTAAAAAAGTTCGACATCAACCTTGACCAACACAAGTTTGCATTAAGCTACCGTAATACGAGACAGCTGCTCCTAATCGATATATCGATTCTCTGAGCTGAATGGTTTATGTTCTTCATTTGGGATATGATGTATGAACATGCTAAGTTTACACAATTTGGATCCATAGGAGCTTCATTTTAATCTTTGTGCTTCAAAATCAAATTGCAATCTATTTTTCGGCTAATATTTTCTGATTGAGGATCAAATTTTTTTGGAAGCCTATCGCATGTCTAAGCTGAAAATTCAACAAATTGAGGATGTTTTGTCATATCAATTCATTTACAGTCCTGTCCCGGAATTTTGTTCTGATAATTCTATTTTTCTACCATTATCGAATGTGCTTTTCAGATCAAGAATTTCCACTGCGATCAAGAACTTGGTCGATCATTCTTTGAAGCACGTATCACCCCAGTAAACGATCCATCTCTAAGAGTCAGCTGGCTGAAAGATGGACATGCACTGCCGAATGCCAACAGAATCCAGGTGATTCCCTTTTACTTTCCCTTGTCTTTTCCTTTTCTTGCTTTTTTTCTGAGAATCGTTTTTCTAGACATTCCACAACTTCGGCTGTGTATCGCTGTCTCTAAACCCGACTTATCCAGAAGATGCAGGAACATACACTTGTGTGTTGTTCAATGCTCATGGACAGGTAATTTGAGCCAAACATTTTTTTATCTAAAAAAATCTTCAAAAATTTCTTGCAGGCCCAATGTTCAGCAGACCTCACCACAGTACAGATGCCAACGCTTCAGACTGACAGCAAACATCAGGACAGTCTACAGATCATTGGATATTTGGACAGTCATCAAGTGAAAAACTGAAATTTTGTTTTTGCAGTCATTTTATGCAATAATTTTTGATTAAATGTTTGTTTCTGCAGTTATTTTATAGATATGAGAGACTCAAAATTTGTTTTTTGCCGTCACTCTATTCGGAAATTCGTAGAAATGGATTGATTTATGTCCCAAAATGCGTAAATATGTGTAATTGCACGTAATAAGCACTTTGCGCGTCAAAAAATGAATTGGTTGCCATTCTGAAAACTTTTTAAGGAAATTGAACTTCTATAATTTTTGATTATTTTTCTTGCTTTCTATACTTTCTATAATAATTTGAATTTTCTACAAATTTCTTTGTCTGAAAAAAAACACGAAAATGCATTCATCTGCAAGAAATCGTTATTATCGCTGGATCCAACGCGCACTGTCTGCAATCGCACATATTCGCCACAAAATGGGATTTCGAAAGTGATAAATCTGCTGATAAGAAAGAACGAGCGAGTTCGGCAATTTTTAATTTTGGACTGAAAAAGGAAAATTTACTTTCCTTTAGCAATTTTTATTTTTGAAGATGATCACTTCGAGTTAAAAATGAGTGTACCACAGGAAATACTTTGAGTTCAATAGATTAAGACGTATTCTTTACAAAAAATGATTCAAATTAAATAAAAAATATTGAGTAGAAGAAGTAATAAAAATAAATTGAATAAATAAATTTTTCGAATAACTTAGATCTAAGTATTCAATTTTAGATATGACTCTAGGTATTCAATATTGTATTCTGTGATGTTGTGAATTTTTTAGCTCGAATTTTCAAATTTTTAGGTCCACATCGGACCCCAAGAGGTTGAACGTCCAGAAGAATTTCAATCCTTGGACACTCCTCGTTTTGTTCGTCCACTATCAAACCAACTCGAGTGCAATGAGAACGATCCAGTCCACTTCGAAGCCAGACTGCAACCAGCTAATGATCCAAAAATGACTGTGGAATGGTAAAAGTCGACGCTTTTCTCTATAAATAACAGAAAATTTCAATTTTTGAAGGTACCATAATGGAGCACCATTGCCAGCTGCTCACCGATTCCGACCGATGTTCGATTTTGGCTATGTCGCTTTGGATATTCTTTACGCTTATCCTGAAGACAGCGGAACGTATACTCTGGTAGATTTTCTAGATTTTACAAAACCTTTTTCTTCAATGAAAAAATATTCTTAGGTGGCTAGAAACGAATTGGGTGAAGCGCAGAGCAATCTGGATCTGACTGTTAACAGCTCTAAGACACTTTACTTGGATCCAAACCATCCAGAAGGATTGCAGAGAATTCAGGTGAGCCTTGAGTATGTTGAAATTTTGGTATTTTAGATCCGCATTTGCAAATATATTAGGTTGAACCGAAAGTTCGTTCGCACCATTTTCAAAAAATCATAACTTCTTTCCGTCACGACGATTTTGCGCAATTTAAGCTTTATTAGAAAGCGTAAAGCATGTAGTTTCCAATAGTCTCCTGGCAACTTTCCAGCATGTTCAGATTGCAGAGATAAATATGAAAGAACGAAAACATCCGAAATTCGGAATTTTTGAGAAACAATTCCAAAAATCTAGAAACTGCGCGATAAAATCCAGAAAAGCCATTATCCTAATTTTTCTTATATTTGATTACTAATTGAGTTAAGTTTGTGCTGATCAAGCTCTTCTTTCGAAAGTTATGATTTTTTGAAAAAAAAATGCCGAAAAATCAATTTCTTAGGAATTCTTAGGAAAGTGATTTTTCGGAATTTTTTTTCAAAAAATCATAACTTTTGAAAGAAGAGCTTGATCAGCACAAACTTAACTCAGTTAGTAATCAAATATAAGAAAAATTAGGATAATGGCTTTTCTGGATTTTATCGCGCAGTTTCTAGATTTTTGGAATTGTTTCTCAAAAATTCCGAATTTCGGATGTTTTCGTTCTTTCATATTTATCTCTGCAATCTGAACATGCTGGAAAGTTGCCAGGAGACTATTGGAAACTACATGCTTTACGCTTTCTAATAAAGCTTAAATTGCGCAAAATCGTCGTGAAGGAAAGAAGTTATGATTTTTTGAAAATGGTGCGAACGAACTTTCGGTTCAACCTAATAATTCACCAACGACGGTCCCACATTTTTTATTTTCGAGTGTTCAAATTCCCCAAATTTTTGTGACATTTTTTGAACTTTTAGCGGGCTTATCACTTAGAATCCAAAACGAAAAGGCTGGCGCCACGCCTCAAATTTTCATTTGCAGAGATTCTTTTCGAAATTAGTAATTGCTTCAACCTTTGCTAAAGTCATTGACCAATTTCGTAACTTAAGTCTATTTCGAAAATTTTGCAACCCGTTCTCCTTCGTCCTCGGTCGGACCTTGCAATTTTTTCATTTTTGATGACTTTGTACTAACGAAATTTGCGCAAAAATCACCTCTACCGCTCTGTAATTTCAACGGGAATTTTTTCAGGAACTCGAACAAGATCGTCGTCAAGGCCTCCCAGAGGTTGAGGATCGTACTTGCGATGCTGCTCCTCAAATTCTTGGAGATCTCACGGACCAAAATCTGAACGAACACGACAATATCCATATGGATGTCAAGGTAAACAGCTAACCCTATCAGGATTTCTTGTCTACCAACGCTGACGCTTACCTACCTAGGTGACACCCGTACATGACCCCACAATGACAGTGGATTGGTTCGTCGACGGACGTCAGGTCATTACTGGAAGTCGTGTGAAGACACTGAACGAATTCGGCTTCGTTGCGCTGGATATCACGGTAGTTTTGGGTTTTGGCAATTTTCCAAATAAGACAAAAATCTTTTTTTTTTCTAGGGTGCAATTGCCGAAGACTCTGGAACTTACACCCTCCGTGTCAAGAATGCGCTTGGTGAAGCAACTCGGCAATGCAATGTCACCGTCAATCGTAAGTATTGTGATAACCATGGCGCAATCGGTAGTAGGCGTGGCGCGAGCCCGATTACGGCGCGGTTTTTACATATTTGTTGTTTTACTACGTAAAAAATCTATTTTTAGCTGCCGGCCAAGTAATCCGTGACACCCAGCATGAAGAATCGCTGGATAAAATCAACTATTTGGAAAATTTGGACAAGTTCGGCAGAAGAGAGATCGAAGACCATGGGCCAGATATGGCTCCAATGTTCGTTGTACCTTTGGAAGGGGACATGGGAGAGGTAACCAGCGATTTTTTCTGTAATTACGAAATCTTGGGCTTCGTAAAAAATTTTAAAAAATTTATTCAGGTCGAAGAAGGTGAACCCATTCATCTTGAATGTCAAGTCAAACCTACGAACGATAATACTCTAAAAGTTACATGGCTTCGTAATGGAGCTCCCATTCCTCATGGTCAGTTGATTTTCTGGTTCCCATCTTCAAGATTTTCTGAAATTCTTTTTTAGGACATCGCTTCCGCACTTTCTATGACTTTGGATTTGTTTCACTGGACATCCTCGGTGTTTACTCCCAGGATAGCGGTGAATACACTTGCAAAGCAGAAAATGCCCTTGGATCGGTGGAAACAAAAACGAAAATCCACTGCAATCGTGAGTTTCTCAATTTTTTTTGCCCTCAATTTTTTTCCAAAGTTTGCCCCTCTCTCTGCAACGACAAGAGCTGCTTACCCGTCTTACTCAACTGCTATTGAGAAAGTAAAGTACAATTTCACGCTGCGCTGAGTAATCGGTGGTAATCCCAGATTCAAACAATAGGTTGCACTAGAAAGAAAGGTCAACAGATTATGGCAAGGACCTGCAAATTATTGAGTTTTTGAAAAAAAATTTTCGACTAAATTATTGCTTTCTCACAAATATAGATCCTTTTGAAGAAATGTAACATATTATTACGAATTCTTCAAAATAGCGCCATTCGTAATTTCTTGCCTCGTTTTCTGTTTTCTCCCTTTGTAAACATTGAGCATGCTTTGTCCTGGTTGAAAAATTAGAAACGGCATGCGGGTTTTTTCTACAGTGGTTTCAACTTCTTTCCTGCTCCTCTCTAACCCTTTATATTTTTTAATTTTCTACACTTACCATCTCTGGAGTCCAAGATGTCACATTTTTGCAAAAGAAAGTGAGGAGGTTATTTGCTAGGGAAAATTTTATATCCAACTGCTTATTCAACTTAGCCTTTTGTTGCGTTTGATATTCAAAGTATTTATTGGCATTTATTTTTCAAAAATTTGGCAAACGAGGTGAACGATATGCTCCGATGTTTGAAAAAAAAAACACTGAAAAACGTGCGGAAAAATTGCAAGCTTATAACAAAATTTGTTTAAAAATATTTACATCTATATTATCGTACATTTGGAGTTCTCTAGTCTAAAAATCATCAGTTGAATATATCAGCTCAAACTTGGTCGGCTAAAAAATATTTGTCATCTTGTTATTTTGAAAAGAACTTATTTCTTGCGGAAGTTTTTGAGTAGAAGTGGTTCCGTCAACTTCATTGGCTGACTTATTTTTTCTCATAGTTGACCCGAAAAAGTCTCAAAGCGAAACACAATCCCCCACCTCCTCCGCATATAAAAGTGCGCAAATTTCTATTTGCTGTCGTCCTGTGTTGAGAAAAGAGCCTAAGAATCGCCTGGGCGCGTCTCGGCGGCAGGCGTTCAGTTCATTCCCAGCTGCTTCCAGCATCCACCCCCTAATGTCTTCCTATCCATCGTCTTTTCGTTCGCGTAGTCCCAGCACATCCTCATTTTCGTGGAGTAACGATAATGGCCAAAGCGCTCGTCCTCAGTACCCACCCAATCATTTCCTAAATGGGACACTGGAGCCGAAAACGTACGGGAGAATCCCGTTCAACATACCCGTGGGGAAGCTGTCTCCTGGTAGAGCTGGCAGGAAGCCTGAGACTAGAATGGAGCTGCTAAATCTGCTCCCTTCAGCTAAGGAAGCAATCCTGGGACAGGTACAGCATCCAAAAAGCTATCAGAGGATCCAGGAAATAGAGGCACCCAAGCCAAAGCCACAAGAACTCCCAGATGCTCCCAAAGAGGTAAGCCTGCTTCTATTTGATTCGCCCCAAAAATAAATTGGTTAATTTTTAGGCCCCAGCATTCATCAAACAACTTGGTCCACCCATCCAATGCGTCGAAGGTGACAATATCTACCTTGAAGCTCAAGTGACACCTTCTGATGACAACACCCTAACGGTTGGTATTTTTAGATTGAAAAGCGGACGAGGGGGGGGGGGGGGAGGAACAGTGCTGCGCCTACGTTTGCGTTTTAGCTCAACCTTTGCGCGATTCAAGAACAAGCATTTCTTGTTTCTCAAATTTTGCCCAGCTCAAAATTAGCTCACAGTGAAACTAGAAAAACTAAAATTAGCTTATTTGAAACGTCCTTTGTTATTGATTTTACCAGCAAGTATTTTAGGAAAGCCTGGTTTGTTGGGTACTGTTTGAAATAGATTTTCCGGATTTTTTTTTGGAATAATTTTTTTTAATTTATGTATCTCAACGTGCTTTTCCAATTTGGAATCAGCCTAGAAAGAACTCGCTAAGGACGTTCTTCCTCGATTTTATCAGGCCTATATTCAGTAACATTCTGAAATTGTTAACAGCACCTTCGGATTTTTTCTATTGATTTTCTGATCTTGTATTTTTGAAGATTTTACAAGCTTGAAGTCAACTCAGATAGCTCAAAACTACGTTCATTAATTTTGTAGAAAATTTCTATGTTTGCTAAATCTCCGAGCGGTTTAAAATCTCTTAAACAGGTTCTTATAGTTTTTTCCTAAATTCTTGATTTAATTTTTATATTTTATGGAATTTTCCCATTTGAAATCAACTCAAAATGACTCACGGAAAACGTCTTTCTAATTAATATCAAAATTTTTAATTTTAACAAAAGCTCCTGTGTATATGAAAATTTTGTTGGTTGGAAATTATTCATAAAAAGCTCCTTTGAATTTTCTGAAATGAATTTTTTCATCTAGATTTTTGAATTTTTTCAGTACGAATGGCTTGTGAATGGGCATCCGCTGATGAAAGCACATCGATTTGTGCTGTCCCAAGACTTTGGCTATATTGCTCTTAATATCCTTTACTGTTACCCAGAAGACAGTGGAACCTACACTTTAGTGGTCAGGTAAGGAATCTTCAAGGCTTTGATTTCATTCTCGTTTTTTTCCATTCATAAAAATGAATTTACTGAATCTTCAGAAATGCTGCCGGTGAAGCTCAGTCTACCGTGGATATTGATTGCCGTATTGATGGTGTTAATGTGAGTTGAATATTTTTTCTGCAATCATTAGGTTGAAAATTTCGTAACCTTGCATTTACGGTTTGCAAAAAATCATATATCCGTTGGGAAAGATCTGCACTTGAGAGCAATAGTTAGAGAAATTACTACAATTTTCGACTATTTTCTAAGGCGGAAAATGTTTTTTTTTTCAAGATTTGTTTCTTGAAGAGTTAGAAATTACTAAGGGGTTATGCCATTTGAAATCATCACCAGCAATTTACAAAATTCAGCATTAATTTGCGTCTTTCTTCGCTATAGTCCCACTTAACCTTTGATTCAACTGGCTTGGTGGCTGGAAGGCGGGGCTTTGTGACCTAATTAAGGCCGCTTGCACCCGCGACGCAGTCTGCGTCTCTGACAATTATCTAGTTTTAATTGGGTCAGGAAGCCTAGCCTTCCAGCCGCCAAGCCTATTGAATCAAAGTATACACTTTTAGTATGCTGTTTTGCTTTCCAAACACCAAGTCTTCACAATGTTGAACGCTTATCTGCTAATAAAGAAACGGGAATTTCAATAATAAAACCATTGTTAGATGTATTATGGGTTGGCGTTATGGTAAACATGGCTGCGCAGACTCATCGCACACTTTGTTCTACATTGAATAAATAGATAAATCATTAAGTAATGATTAAATAAATAAGTAAATAAAAATAAATAAATTAATAAACAAACAATAACCATCCTGCCCATCGCTCGACGAACTCAAACACGTGGGAGAAGCGGACATTTCTCCATACGTTGGCATGTTATCTTTCATTACCACCCATCGCTACAGACCTTTGCTTTTCTGCTAATAAAGAAACGGGGATGTCTTATTCGAATCCACAGATTTTTTTGGGCTGTGGAAATATTGGGTTGTCCCGAAAAAATTTTTTTTTCAAACGGATCGAGTAATGATTAGAAAGCAGCTAAAACATTCAGCCGCCCTTTCTTTCTCTTTTGAGGTCATGTTTTTGCATCAAATTTTATTTCTCACACGTTGCCAAAATTTTTTTCATCATTTCTGTCTGGCCAGAAGTCCGAGCGTTCAAAAAAATTTTCCCAACTTTTCTGAAAAAAGTAAGAACCGAATATAGAGCAAATCATGAGCTACAAGCATGTGCCTTTAGTTCCTTACAATCTGTTCAATAGAGTTTCACAGAACTATTTTTTATGTATGTCAAATTATATTGGAATCAATGACAGCTTCAGAAATCTCGACGGCTTTAGGCATAATTGTTATCAGGGGTCGGCACAGGTGGCTTGTAAAACACGCTGGATATCGAGGGGGTTTCGTTTTTGTGGCTGAAAAGAGAAAAAATTGGGACTTTTTTCGATCGACGTTTCGTATTTTTAGGGATTTTTTAGGGTATGGTTTAGGGTCAAAGGGGACTTCGTAAAATTTGAAGAAAGTCAAGGAGGACTCCGTTTTTTTTTGCATTTTCCAAAAGCCGGCTCGTGCCGAGCCGTGGTTGTTATAATCATCACTTTTTGGAATAATCAAGTTTGACCAAATCGGTATGTTCTCGCATGACATGTGTACAAAAAGCTAAGGTTGCGTAGAGGATCATATGTCGGGAGGGTCCCGCGTGGAGAATGCAGCAGATATTCAGCTTGTGCGGGTATTGAAAGGTATATTTGTTGCAGATGTCCGGCGAGACCTCTCAATTTAAGCGACATATACCCTCGCCAAGGTTGTCCCCCAAATAAAAAATTTTGTCGTTCGTTCACCAAGCACATTCACCACGAACCACATAACGGCGTTGAATTTCGCTTTTCAGCTGTCAAAGAAACGGAAAACTCTTATTCGATCCTACACTTTCATCTTAAGACCATCGTAATGTCTTTTTTTTTTTTGAAAATTAGTGCTCCATTCTTGACTATTATTTCTTTTTTCTTTTTTTGAATTATTTTAAATACAATTTATTAGTTCCCCTGAGTATATTACATTCGACGAATATTTCATTCTCAATCTAATTTTTCGCATTTCGGGAATTTTCTGCTTTTCCAGATTTATATAGTCAAGACTTAGTTATGATTTAGGATATGTCATGAATAACTGTTTCCAAATCACATATTACTATGAAATTCTACATAAAATAATTGAAATAATTAGATTTCTTAAAATAGCAAAAAATTAACAAAAATAAACAGCAAGGGTAAATAAAAAATTGTAAATGTTCGGAAATTACGCGATTTATATGAGCGCTACCTTTACCAACTTACCGATGGGGATTCAGAATTTTCTAATTTTTTCATCATCAAAATAAGGCTAATCATTTTGTAAGATGTGTTCTCATCAAAATGATGCCCATTTTAGTATCGCGACTCTCTTCATCCGAGCTCTCTACAACGTATAAAAGAACTCGAAACACCACAACAGCGAGCCGAACCTCCACCAGAAAAGCCAAAGGAGCAACCTCAGATCCTTAAGGTAAGGGAAAATTATGGGTTATTGTATTTCGTTAATTCTAAGGTCTTTGTAATGTACTCTCGACAAGGGATCAACTTTGCTGTGGGGCAATTTCAGCAACAGAAAACCATACTAGTAATTGCGGACGTAAATTCCATGAAAAAATTTTTTTAGGGCCTTCCGCCCAAGTTCGATGTTGTTCACGAGTCACAAACCCTTCACCTTGAAGCTCAAGTGGCTCCAATAGACGATAACACTTTGAAGGTAAGGCCATACTGTCATATTTCCGTCGAAGCACGTGGCGTTCTCTGATTGGTCGAGCTCAGTTGTAATTGGTCAGTTTTCATCTCACTATTTCTAGTACGAATGGTTATTCAACGGTCAACCACTAAAAGCCAGCAGCCGCTACCGTATCCTCAACGATTTCGGCTTTGTTACGCTTGATATTGACTATGTGATAGCTGAAGATGCTGGAAAATACACTTTGGTGGTTTCGAATGCAGCCGGTAAGGGTCAACTCAATCTAGATCCATACCTAGGTCAAAAATTTGTTGTATGCTCCAGGAAAAACCGAAACCTCGTGCGAATTCGATGTCGAACGATTGAAATCGATTCTGTCTGACACGGCCCATCCAGAATCACTTAGAAGAATTACGGAGATGGAACAGCTACAGCCTGCCAAGCCTAGCGGTCAGTGAATCTTCATGTTTTGTCCATTCTGCTCTGATAATTCAATCGCAGATGAGGAGTTGCCACTGGAGCCACCAGTGTTCACACAACAGCTCAGTGGACCTTCAGAAGTGCTCAAAGAGGGACAGAGTGTGCATATGGATTGTGTTGTACAGCCAATCAATGATCCTAGCTTGAAGGTAAGACTGGTCTTCAAAATTTCCATTTTTCCAGATTTCTAATTTACAGTGTTTTCCAAAAAACTTCCCAAAAAAACAGCGCTTTCGCTGTCAATTTCAAATCTTAGAAATTGAAAATTTTCTCGCTAATAAAACAACAGTTTGGATTTTCTGTTTTTCAAACTTTTCTGAAAATTGTCAGAAAGTCTTTTGATTAAAATGTACCTTTTTAAAGAAATATATGCTATTTTCATAAACAATGAACGACTCCGGTACCAACTTTCACCAACCCCAAAATTGACTTGACGTAATGAGCATTGATTCTAAACTTTTTCCTGGTATCCCAAGTTTTTGATCAAATCAAATTCGAGAAAATTTTCATAAGGCAAGGTGAACGGTATTAGCTACTTTCTAAAATAAAGATTTTGGGATAGTTTCAGTATCACGCGTGCCTGGCAGAAGCTCTTTGGTAAACTTGGAAGAAAATCAACTCAATTGTTACAAGCAATAGCAAGACATTTGTCCATCTCTAGAGATCATAGTTATTTTTGAAGATTACACGCTTTAGTCAACAAAGTTGGCTTCTTGATTCTTCCAAGGGGAGGAGGGAAGGGAGGGATAATGTTTTGTTATTGAGCCATTTGGTTAGCCTGTCTCTTCGAAACTATTTTTTGAGATGATTCAAGGGTCCTTAAACTTTTGAATTCTCAGAGAAAAGCTGACTTGGAAGCACCCACCTAGCGCTGCTTTTGCTTTTATGCATTGTCTCAATTATTACAAATAAGGCGGAATTCACCTACACTATTTTTGTTGATCATGCACACCACTTTAAAAATCGCGATATCCATACTCTAAGGGGAAGGGGAGGGATTTGCACAGTTCACCATTGCCAAATAAGTATCTGTGCGAATTCAGATCGAATGGTTCTGCGACGATCGTCCGCTGATGTTCGGATCTCGCATCCGAACCATCCATGACTTTGGCTACGTCGGTCTGGAATTCCTCCATGTGCATCCAGAAGATACGGGCACGTACATCTGCCGTGCTACAAACGCAGCTGGAACGGCTGAAACTCGCTTCAAGCTGGAATGCAGACGTAGGATTCCTTCTCTTCAAGTTATAGATTATTATTGATTTCATCGATTTTCCAGCAAGAAGAAATCTGTACCTTGACACGCAACACGAATCATCATGGCAAAAGATACAAGAGATGGAGAATCGCGAGGAAGTTCGTGAACCATCGCCTGAGATGTCATTCCCGCCTCCGACATTCACCGAACAACTCAAGGTGAGATAATAGTCTGCACTTGCACACACCTTGCGGTACCGTACCCATTCTAGAACATCGACGATGCAAATGAATCCGATTCTGTGCGACTTGACTGCCGTCTAGTACCTGTAAATGATCCTACGATGAAGGTGAGATTTTTCGGTAAGTTTTGAAATGACGTCATCAATCGATAATTTAGGTAACCTGGACGGTTAATGGGAATCCCCTTCCACAAGGTAGTCGCTTCATGCCAGCCAGGAACTTCGATTATGTCAGCTTGGATATTCTGGGTCTGTACCCGGAGGATGAGGGAGTTTACACGTGCAAGGTGGGTCCCACACAGAACTTGTTCAGAGGGTAAAAAAATAAAGTGTATGAAAGTTTTAAGGGTAGAAAATTGGTAACTTATCGAATTCAGGGCCAAATTTCTTTAAAACCTAAAAGATATTTAGAGCTGATTTTTATCAGAATTATCAGATTACTGAATTATTATTTTCTGGATCCTAATTATGAAAGGGCAGCTCCAGCAAAATACTGATCTTCAATTTTTCGCGCCTTACAGTCTTCAGAATTTTCGAAAAACCTAATTTTTCGGTCCCTCAAAAAATATGCATGTGCAACATAATTCACTATTTTTTCCTCAGGCCCCCCTCCCCGCTTAAATAATTTCTTCCAGGCTGTTTCCGATTTTGGAGAAGCTGCTACGTCCTGCACTGTAAAATGCGCCCCAATCAAGTCTCTACAACTTGACCCTCAGCATGAACAATCATGGAGCAGAGTCCAGGAGATTGAGAACAGGAAGCCAGTCGAGAAGGTTTACGAAGAGCCGGAAAAGGTTTGTACATTTCTGAATGACCGAGCCCTTAGGGTTAGTAGGGATACTGTAGGTTATAATGAATTGCTTCCAGAGGCCTCCCCACTTCGTCGTGCAATTGCCAGGCGCGCTGGGTGAATGCCCTGAAGGCACACCTATTCACTTCGAATGCCAGGTTGAACCAACCAATGACAACCAGCTTCAGACACAATGGTACGGTAGCCTCACTTCCACCCCTTGTCATACTGTAACCTACCGTAAACAGGTACCACAATGGCGTTCCATTGGCCAATGGTCACCGTTTCCGTACTGGCAACGACTTCGGCCATGTTACCCTTGACATTCTCTATGCTTTCCCACAAGATTCGGGAGAGTGGACTTGTGTGGCTCGAAACGAATTGGGTGAGGCCCAAACCAGTGCTGACTTCACTGTTCTGCCGAAGGGAGTTATCTACACGGATCCACAGCATCCTGATAGTTGGCAGAGAATCCAAGTGGGAGAAAATCAAATCTCAAGGTTACTGAGAGCTCTAGATTATACTTGCAGGAATTGGAAGCACCAAAAATGGCTCCTGAAGAAGCGCCAGAGAAAGAACATGATGCGCCGAAGTTCGTGGAACCTATGGAGTCTATGGTTAGCAAAGTTATACGTTTTAAATTAATGTCATTCATACATTTTTTTTATGCTAAGTTTTTTGCTAGATGGAAACCCCTCCAACGCTACCTTCGGGTAGAATCTGATTTTTCTTCACCAGAAACATTTGTGTTCAATTGACATTCTTCACCAACATGCTACACTCTCATCTTGCTTCAAATCAAAATTTATCTTGATTATTGTTCGCGAGCTGTACGAGTTTCAGTTATCATTTCATGATTTTACAGTTTTCATCTATTTCCCCAAATTTTACGAATGCGAAAAATTCGGGTTAAAAATCCTTTTTACACTTGCATGCTTACATTCATTTTATTCCATTGAAACCTCAACATTTTTAGGAGCGCATCGAATTCCAACCCGCTCACTTCGAGACCCGTGTGACCCCTGTCAACGACCCAAATATGACCATGCAATGGTACAAGGATGGGCAACCATTGCACAGTGGAAACAGGTGAAACTATTGATCAGATTGAATTATTGAAGCTTTTTTGGAGGTTTGGCTTCCGTCTCCTTCGAATATTAAAAAATATTGAAAAAAAATCAAAGGAATGTTCAGATACAAACTCACCCATGACTTCGGCTACGTCGCCTTGGACATCGCTCACACCATACCTGAAGATTCTGGTACTTACTCTGTGAGGGCAACGAACAAAAAGGTACGCAACTGCAATAAATCTCATTTTCTTCAACTGAAAAAAAGGATTCTGATTTTTAGGGACAAGACGAGGTTAAGGCGGATCTTTCTGTTCGTGGTAATGCAAGCATTCTTAGCGATACCTTGCATGACCAGTCCCTGCAGAGGATCAGGCAACTTGAGGTGAGTTCCCACCAAAAATTTGAATAAAAAATCCAGAAATCAAAAGGGAAGTTGGAAATTATGAAAAATCGCAGACAAGACAAGACAAGAGCATTTTTGAGAGCATCTCAAATTTTTCCCTTCGAAAAAGATCTTACGAAATGATAAATAGACTGGCAATTTGAACCTTATCATTATTGCAGGAACCCCGCGCTCCTGGAGCTGAAGAACCCGAAAGGAAATATGGACCACCGAAGTTTGTTCGCCCGCTCAACAGCGTCGAAAATATCATCGAAGGCCAACCAGCACATTTCGAAGCGCAGTTCGAGCCGTTCGCTCATCCTGACACCACGGTACAGTGGTTCCTTAACGGAAAACCGCTGGCCGCGTCAAGCAGAAGAATCCTTAGAAGCGATTTCGGTTTGGTCACGCTGGATTTACAGTATGCGTTGGGAGAGGTGAAAGAAAATGGATTTATCCGAACCAATCGATATATCGATTTTTTTCCAGGATAACGGCGAACTATCCGTGGTGGTGAAGAACCCAGAAGGTGAAGACCGTACCTCGGGAAGATGTTCATGCACCCCAAGGGATTCCATTTTGAGGGATCCACTGCACGATCAGTCATGGAAGAGAATCCAGGTAAACTTTGCCCAAGGAGTCAGTCATCTTACCTCGGATAAACCAATCAATATATCGGTTTTCCTCACTTGTTCAATTCCAAAGTATTATTTTGTCATATAAAAGTTATTTACGTAGAATCAGGTTAGATATTTTTGTTACAAGGAGGTTGAAGAGTTAGCCATTGCTATTCGGCAAACTAATCAATATATTGATTTTCTTACTTTTCTCCAGCGCCAGTGTGTTTTTGGTACTTAATTGCACAACTCTTCAACAAAAATCCTTTTTTTAGGAAATCGAAGCCCCACGCGCTCCCATGCCCGAACCAGAAGCTCCCCAGTATAACAAACCTACCTTTACCCAACCCCTACAGAGCGTTGCCGATATCCCAGAAGGAGGTGTTGCACTCCTGGAAGCTCGCCTTACCCCAGTCAACGATCCCAACCTCAAAGTGCAGTGGTTCTTCAACGATTCTCCACTGCAGGTATAGGAATTTGAATCTCTTTTACTGTATCGAAAAAAATCGATGTATTGATTTTTCAGGATTCCAACTGGATCGCCACAAACAACGATTTTGGCAATGTTTCTTTGCGAATTGCTCCATGCCATGCTCGTCATAGCGGAGTGTATTCCTGCAAAGCTGTCAATGACCAAGGAGCTGCTGTTACTAGCGCATCGATCAGTGTGCAAGGTATTTTCAACCCTCATCCTAAATTTATTGATTCTATCGATCGATTGCTCCAGGCACTGATGGTTTGATCACTGATACCTCTCATCCGGAATCGCTGCAGAAGATCAGAGAAATGGAGTCCATGGATAGATTCCCACGTCTGGAGGCTCCAGAACGTGAATATGACAAACCTCAATGGATTCAGCCATTCGAGGTAAGTTGTGCGATTACGGACAATGCGTGAATTCTCTGGAGTGGCTGCTTTAGAACGTGGAGAACGTTCCCGAAGGTGGCGCTGTTGAGCTTCATGGTCTTGTTGAACCATCTGGTGATCCTAACCTTCGTGTAGAATGGTTACACAACGGAAAACCATTGATGAATGGTAAGCAAATGACAACCTTGCCCCAATCGATAATCGATTTTTTCAGCCAATCGCTTCCGACAAGAGCTTGACTTTGGAAATGCAATCTTGACTATTGTGCATACATTCCCACACGATTCTGGTGTTTATACTTGTCGCGCGTATAACCGAGCTGGAGAGGCTACCACCAGTGCTACGGTCAAGGTTGAAGGTAAGTCATGCTCCCCGTCTCTGCCCCTTCTGCCAATCCCGCCCCCTTGATTCATGCATGCTGCTTCAGGGTATGAGCAACTTCTTCTCGACCCACAACATCCAGTTTCATGGCAGAAGATTCAAGAACTTGAAGCTCCCAGGGTTAGTGTCATGTGATTTTTACAGAATTGAATTTGTGGAGATTTCCGATTTTTTCCTTCCTCGATTTTTTCTTCATTTATTCACTTCATGCTTTAGGTTGTCGAAGAGAAAGAAGAGGTGGTGCAACGCGAGAAGCCTAACTTCCTTACCCAGCTTACTTCTGCCGAGAATGTTCCAGAAGGGGACAGAATCCATCTGGAAGCAACGTTCACGCCTTCAAGAGATTCAGAGCTTAAGGTTTGGGAAACTTTTATTGAAGGGCGACGAGTGAGGGGGGGGGGGGGAAGGGTAAGGGCAAATTTTGGCAAAAGCTATTCCTTTTTAGGCTGTATGGCAGAAAAATGGCCAGCCTATGGGTGCCTCTCAGCTCATCCAGACTCGACACGAACCTGGCTGGGCTACCCTGGATATCTTATCAGCTAATGAAGACCACAACGGTAAGTTCATAGTTTTTTCTTTGCGGGACCCACCCGATTTGTGCAATCACGATTAAACTTCCTTTACAGGCGTCTACACCCTTACCATCTCCAACCCCGAAGGTGAAGCTGTTTCCACTGCCGCGGTCAAGGTCGTTGGCACCGCACCCGTACTTGGTGACACCCAACACGAGGAGTCTTGGCGTCGTATCCAGGAGATTGAAGCACCCAAACCAGCCCCAGAAGAGCCTCCAGCGCCGGTTTATGACCCACCAGCAGTCACCACGCAAATCCAGGATCAAGACTGTAACGAAGGCGATCCCAGCCACTTTGAGGCCACCTTTACCCCGGTTAATGATCCTAACCTTACCGTACAATGGTACAGGAACGGTCAGCCACTTAGCCATGGATCCAAATATGCTATCAGTCAAGATTTTGGTACTTGTATGTTGGATATCGCATACACTTACCCAGAAGATCAGGTAGGGAATTTTGGAGTTGAAATGTAGAGTCCCGATCTTCACCCTTTCTTTTTTAGGGTGTATACCAAGTAAGGGTCACAAATGGCCAAGGTGAAGCAGTATCATCGGCTACGCTCAAATGCCAAGGAAAGGAGGCGATCTTGGGTGATACTCAACACGAACAGTCATGGAAGCGAATCCAGGAAATTGAAGCGCCAAAGCCAAAGGTACCACTTGGGCCTAAAATAATTTTAACAAAATCTGCGAAAAAGTCTTGACAACTGTTTTTGCTCGCTGAATATGAAGAGCAGAGATGTCAACGGTATGCTTTATACGGGCGGTCAGCTGATGCGCAACTGTACTGCGTAAAAGTGCGTGGTATGCTGCAAACTTGCGTGCGGGACCTCTCTTTCTGCGACAAAACATCCTTTAAATACCAAAATGTATCTACAAGACCGACGTCAAGATGACGAGTATAGCTGCAACGACTCAAAAAATGAGAAGTCCAAAGAGCAAAGACTTTCAAGTGCATTTATTGAACATAAAGTTTTGAGAAAATTAGTTCGGGGGAAACCTAACGACATTTTGCACCTGTTCCACCTTTGGCTGATCGAATTTGAGCGGGAAGTTTTACATCTCTACCTAACATTAGTCCCAGTACTTGTCACCAATTTTTGTGCAGCTGAGCGGCACCCTGGCATATTTGCGAAGTATACCATGAAAATATTGTTAATGATAAATGTTCTGAAAATGCCGAAAGCAGTTCTCGTGAAGATTTGGGCTCACTCTTGCAAGATCTCTTCGGCTAAAATGTGTACGAATACAAGTGCGAAATGAAACATATAGTTTCTTTTTGATTAATACCATCTCTTTATGTCTGAGCGGCACGTTTGCCATATTTTCAGAGTAGACTGTAAATTGCAGCAAGGCGTTTCATAACTGAAGTTCCTCCCCCCCCTCCAAAATATTATTTTTATAATGTCAAAACGCTGATGTAAAGCAGGTAGGATAATTCAAATCAATGTTTGTGGGTGTGCTTCATTCTCCATAGGATGTCGAAAGCTTGAAGTTTTGGGACTTTATAATTGTGAAACCCTGAAAAGCCGAAATAAAATTTTGTTTTTTGTTTTTGGACGCATAAAGGCGACTCATCGACCGCACAGATTAGCTGTTTCTGCGGTGCGGTGATGCTTGGGGAAAACCGTGTACCACTGCAAATTGACATTGTAGAGTTGTGCTCTCGTAACTTCAGCCGCGCCTCGTATGCTGTGCTGGTTCAGCCACTTTGTGTTGATAAATAAATTACTATAAAGTGTGTTTTGCTCCAATGTATCTTTCCAGATGGAAGAAGTGGCACCTGCACCAAAGCCTGCGCCACGCTTCGTTGTCCCTATTTCTTCGCCTGGAGAGCTTGTGGAAGGCCAGCCCGCTCACTTCGAAGCCACCATCGAGCCCGTAGACGATCCAAATTTGAAGGTCTACTGGTTCTTGGATGGAAAACCGGTAATTGGCAATTTTGCAAGAGGGCTGTTGTTTTGTAAATTTCACATATTCTCAGGTACCCAACTCGTCGCGTATGAAGATGATCAACGACTTTGGATGGGTGATTATGGATATCAATCACGCAGAGCCACGAGACACTGGAGATTGGACATGTGTGGCAAAGAACGCAGCTGGAGAGGCTCAGTCCTCAGCACCACTGAAAGTCACAGGAAGGGAGAATCTCCGTAAGCAATTTGCTCAAATACCGTAACCTACCGTAATCAGACTGAGTAATTCTCAGTGCTCGAACCGATCAATCCACAATCGCTTGACCGTATCCGTGAGATCGAAGCCGAGCGACCAGCAGCTCCCGAAATGCCCGAAAAGGTGTACCCAGCTCCTGTATTTACTGTCCCATTGTCAGTACAGGGAGCTGTGGAAGAAGCAGGAAGTGCCCATTTGGAAGCGCAGTTCACCCCGATTGATGATCCCAATGTCAAGGTAGGTCATCTTTTTGTATAACGGATTACGGTAAGTTTGGCTAATTCAGGTTGAATGGCTACGTGATGGTGTTCCAATCTTCCACTCTAATCGCTACCGTATGCTACATGACTTCGGATTTGCCGTGCTGGACATCATCCACTTGCTTCCTCATGATAGTGGAGAGTATACTTGCAGGTATTTATTTTTAAAGTTTTTTATTTCGAAAACTTTGCTGAAATAATCGCTTTTTCAGAGTGACCAACTCAGCCGGTGAGGCGGTGTCATCCACGCCGATCAAGGTTGAACCAAGCAGTGGTCTCATCTTGCATCCGCAGGTACGGTAGAAAATCAAAATCTGTGGAATAACTCAAAATTACCATATACTTACAGAACCCTGAAAAAGCTCGCGCAGTCGAAGAACTTGAAGAAATCCTACATAGGCAGCCTGAAGAAGTGCAAGAGGAAGTCAAGGTAAGAAAATTCGGTTTCGTTAAAAATTTGAATTTTTGAGTCCAACAGCAACGAATTGTAGATGTGCGGTGGAATACTGCAGGATCCCTACGACTGAAAAAAGTTACCCAAAGTCTTTATCTTTCAGGAAATGATGCCAGTATTTATCGAGCCACTCTCGGCACCCGTGGAATGTGAAGAAGGAGATCGGGCTCATTTCACAGCAAGATACGAACCACTGAACGACAACAAGCTGCAGGTATAGTGTGGGAAGACTGTAGGATTGCGGTGGGGATACTGTAGGACCACTGTAGAGCTGAAATCTTTACCTGAAAACTTTTAAATCTTAGTGGTTAACCGAATTTTTTCCCGTAAGCGACACATCCATTCGATTTGTCAACACTATTCAAGTATCAAAGCAAACAAATGCAAGAATGTCGAAGAAATCTAAGAGACCGTCTTTTAATCGATAAATTGATTGATCTGTATCTAGGTGCAATGGTTCCTCAACGGACGCCCACTGAAAACCGGTTCTCGTGTCAAGACTATCAACGATTTCGGTTTCGTTGTGTTGGAGATTAGTCCTGTGTATCCGGAAGACAGCGGCGAGTACTCGTGCCGTGCTGTCAATGCGGTTTGTGATAGTTGTCCCAATTTTTTTTCAAGGCTACTCCATAATCGGTATTGCAGGTCGGTGAAGCTGTTACCAGCACGAAGCTGACTTGCGCTCCGAAGGAGACCATCATTAGCAAGTCGCAACTACCCGACAGGATGTCTGGGGCCCAAAGCAGGATTCGGGAGATTGAAGCTCCCCGTCCAGCTCCCGAACCACAACCAGATGTCGATCATGGTCCACCCAAGTTCACCACCCACATGGCTGTAGGTTCTTTTGAAACCATCTCACTCCTCATGTGAGTGACTTCGGGTCAACTCTCTATTTTTAGTCACCGCCGGAGCTTCTCGAGGGACAAATGGCCCATCTTGAAGCTCAAATTACTCCTGTGGCCGATCCAACTCTGAAGATCGAATGGTTCCATGATGGAAATCCAGTGAAACACTCGAATAGAATGAAGGTATGTCGTCCAGTCATAAATCAATAATCGATGGATTATTCAAACAGATGATCCACGACTTTGGATTCGTTGTTCTGGAGCTTTCTCCAGCCGAACCTCAAGACACAGGCAAATGGACCTGCCGTGCTACCAACAGCAAAGGCACTGATGAAGTGTCTTGTGACATCAAGGTAAGGGACGACTGACAAGTGACAGCCAATCAATACCTCTGTCATTGTTAATTACAGGTGGTTGGCACCGGTGGAGTATCTTACGAATGGCAGTCACCTGCCGAGCGCAAAGAACGCATCAATGAGCTTGAGCATTGGATCCATCGACCGAAGGAGGAACTTGATATACCACCTATTGACTTCGGGCCACCCAAGTTCACCCAAAATCTTACCGATTTGGGAAGGGTAAGCTTGAGATATCAATCGATAATTATGAAGTATACGAAAATCTTTACAGCTCAATGAGGCAGATGCAACTGCGTTTGTTTGTGTACTGGAACCTATTGGTGATCCAACCCTAAGGGTACAGTGGGAGCACAATGGGCATCCTATCCCATACTCGAACAGGTAGAGCTGATTATTCTGGGAGTAAAACTTGAAGAATATTTGTGTGACATTTCTGCCGAAGAAACCACTTCACTTACCATTAGAACTTGGAATATAACGTCACATTCTTTTTTGCGCTGAAGCAAATACTTCATTTTCAAAAATGAATTGTTTTCAGAATCTCCATGACCAACGAATTTGGTGTAGCTACCCTGCTAATCAAGCACCTGATCGCCCAAGACGCTGGAGAATACAAGTGCATTGCTACGAATGCCAAGGTAAGAGAAACTAAAAAATTAGAGTCAGAAAAAAGAAGGAAAAGGGGATGTGCACAGTAGTTTCGATAACTTCCTAAAAACTTCCCTGTATTTGGCATGCAACATTTGTGAAAGCCATGATTTTTTTTCAACAAAGATAATTTTTCTCTGTAGAAAATGCAAAATAAATGAGCGTGAAGGATGACTTTGAACTTACTGAGATAATTTCATAGAGAATATACGAAAATCGAGGATAGAAATCTCCAACGTGCTGTGATTACTACTGTCTTGGAAGTGATGACGGCCACTTTGCACTGTTAGTGTTCTCACTATGCTACCGTAAACCTTACCCAAACTGAGATTCGACATACTTTTGAAAAGCTCAGATTGCGGGGTGTTGTGACGTAACACCAGTTTGAAATGTTTTGATTTGGCGGCATACGGTAGCCATATGGTATAACAACTTACATTCTTTTCGATCCCTGCCAACCCTCTTACAACAAACCATATTATTGCAGCTACCCCTTGTCTTATCCGCTATAATTTCAGGGCAAAGCTGAAACAGTCGGCCAGGTCCAGGTCGAGTCTCTCACACAAGTGGATGCTCCACAAATCGTTCAACCACTTGTCGAGACTATCGATAACACACTGGTTCGTTTCGTATACGATCGAAAAATGATTTCTTCATTTCCAAATTTAGGAAGGAGACTCGATTCATCTCGAGTGTCGTGTCACTCCCATTAATGATCCACAACTCAAGATTCAATGGTTCAGAAATGGTGCCCCATTGCCTGAAGCCAGCAGGTGGGTTACGGTAAGTGAATGTGGTACCGGGAGATTACGGTACCTTATTGTAGGTTCAAACCATTGTTCGAATTTGGATTTGTCTCTCTGGATATCCTCTATGCCTATCCGGAGGATAACGGAATCTACGAACTTGTGACGACCAATGACAAGGGAGAGGCCAGGACAAAATGCGCAATTACGGTAAGTGGACGTTTCTGTTCCAATTTGCGATAACTATAGTATCTTTTGTAGGTCCTGCCACGACCAAAACTTGATTATTCGTCACAAACTCATGGCAGTAACATCGATAACATCGAATCGCACTTCCGACAACATTCTACTCAGAAACTTAGCATGGCTGTTGAAGACATGCATGATGAGGCGCAGAAGAGGCATGTTTGAACCCCTTTTTCCAATATACGACGTTATTTTACGTACGCTATTGCAGACCGCCAGAGTTCAAGACACCGATTGAGAACATCGCAGTGGCTGAGGGCGATTTCTGCCGATTTGAGACACAAGTTGTACCAATTAACGATCCTTACATGAAAGTCGAATGGTTCAAGGATAAGAAACCGGTCCTTTTGGGTAAGCACCCTTACCCTGGGTATCGGGACAGGCATAATCTTTCTATTCAGGACATCGGTTCAAATCCATTTTGGACTTTGGCTTCGCATGCTTGGATCTACTCTATGCTTTGCCAGAAGATACGGGAGAGTATCATTGCGTGGCTACGAACAAATACGGTGAGTAAAATTGCTGCTACATGCTTATCACTCGCGATGCAATGACTTCGAGGATAATTTCTAAATCGCCTGTTAAAACAGCTATAAATATAGCTCTACCATGCACTCTTGCCTAAAAGGGTCCGCGGATTACGGTAGCATGCTCTGCATATGTGCAAAAGGGTCATCGCACTTTCTGAATATTTTAACTTCTCCTTTCCAGGCCAAGCAATGATCAGCGCCAAATTGGCGTGCCAGGGAGCTGCGCACATTATTGCTGAGCCCCAAATGCCTCAGGGAATGCGCGTACGCAGTGTCAAGAAGGATGACAAGAAGATCCACTGGTACTTGGGACTTTGCCAAAATTCCATAAAGTCGCCCAATATGATAATTTTGCAGGAGCGAACAAGGTGAAACGCAAGTACGACAAAAACAGAAGCCAGAGTTCACCATCAAGCCGAGAGCGTTGCAGGTAGGTCCCATCACTATTACGTGATTACGATAGCTTCTGGGTTACCATACTGGGCGCAGATCTCAAGTTTACCATCTTAGGTAGTAGAAAATGAACCAGCTCGATTCGAGTGCGCTGTTATCGGTAATCCTCGACCAAAGGTTACATGGTACATCAATGGAAATCAGGCTCTTCATGTAAGGATTAGTTTTTTACAACTCTGTAAAAAATTTAAGGAAGTATCATGTAGGGTCAACGCTACAAGCTGAACTACGATGGTCTCCATTATCTTACCATCAATAATTGCCGTATTTCCGACGCTGGTGAGGTTACGGTAATCGCGCGGAACAGCGAGGGTGAAATACAAGCGACATGCCCGTTGGATATCTTCCAGGTCAGCTTTGATTGGCTGGAGGCTTACTGTAGCTTTACTATAGCCTAATTTGCAGAAGAAAGATTTCCGACAACTGCAACTCAAACCTACTCAGTTTGTTACCAGTGAAGAATTACAACAAAGGCAGTTACAGTGGCAGAGAGTAAGAAATTTTCAACCTACAGGGATTTTCCAGGTTTTATGTCAAATTTCACTTTTTAGGAAACCCTTGGCCAACTGGGTGAAGCATTCGAGGCAGCACCAAGACCAGACACCCATAAGCTCTACCAAGTCGAAAGGTTTGTTCCTTCAAAGCTTGATTTTGGCATTCTTATCTGGGACAAGTGGAAATTTGTTTGAGTAAAAAAAGCGGTAGAAAATTGGAATTAGTTAATAGTCATAACATTCAATGAGCCCTGGTTCGCACTTTTTTCTATAAAAAAAGCAAATTAAAGCTTGTTGTAATCATTTTCCAAAAATATTCTTTATAGAACGAAATACCCTGTTGAACCCCTTGAAACCGAGGAGCTTGTCGACAAATTTAACAGACCCCGTGATGAAAGGTTCTATGATCAGCTTGCCTACGTAAGTTCACATTTTATTGCGCTTTTTTAATATAAAAAATTCCATTCTAGGTCGAAACAGCCAAGCCCCAATTTAAAATTATGGAACTTCCACCAGTGCAGCTCAAGCCTGGAGAGATTTCTAAATACGAACCACCACGGGAAGAAATGGAAAAGGTGAGAGGAAAATTTTGTTTCTGTGTTTTATTGGCCACCTGTTGAGCTTTAGGTGCCCCTCCGACCTGTTCCTGGAGAAAAGAAAGAGAAGCAACGGCCACCACCAGAACAACCCAATTGGGCCCAAGGAGGTGTACTGCCTGGAAACGTGGAAGGACGGTTTAAGAAGTTACCCAGCCCACCGAAAGAAGTTGAAGTCCCAGCTCGTGATCAAATCAAGTTTAAGACGGCCAAGCCGAAACCAGCTTCTGAGGTAATGTCCATAACTGCTTCCAAGAGTCCCAGAGCGAAAATTCTGCAATCTAGGTCGAGGCCGGAGAGCATGTCAGGATTGCCGAGGAGAAGGCAAGGTTAAAGGCTGTACAACAGGGACCTGAACAACCAAAGGAGGAGATGATTCCACATAAGCAACAAGTCGAGTTGAAGGTAAGCTATTGTACGCTTCAAGCTTCAATAACAACTTGCTTCAGCTTTCACGACAAGTCAAGGTACTTTACAGATTAAATTGGGTGTTTTGAGAGGGAAAAATTGATTTTGCTTGCCTCATCAAATTCAAGAAATTGGCAGTAGTCAGGAGAAAATTTTTGATTTTGAAGAACCCTTTCACTTAACTGGACTGGCGGCTGGAAGCGAGGCTTCGTGACCTAGTTAAGGCTAGAGAATGATCACAGAGCACACGAGAGAGACGCAGACTGCGTCGCGGGCGCGAGCGGTCGCCTTCTAGTCGCCAATCTCGTTCTGTCAAAGGATATTGTTGTATTGGTTAGGCAAAGTAGAATGGTATTTACAATCAAGTTTCTCAATTAAAAAAGAAATTAAGATTTAAAGAGGCTTGAATTGTTATTTTATTTAGTATGTTTATAGGGAAGTCATTTTGCTGCGACAAAATAGAGCGTTTTCTTGCAAAGTGAATTCACATCTTTTCCATGAACCACAAAAAATATCATCGAGAGTAAATAAGAATTTCCCTTATTCTCAGGTCGTTATATTCCGATTTAGGGAAGTGAACGAAGGAAGATTTCGCATTAAGTTATGATTGTGGCACAAAAAAAGTTGTGAAATTCCAGGCAGATATAACTCATAAGAATTTCTGGTTATCGAAGCTATATAAGTGAGGATACTATCCTGCAGTAACAGTTCAGTTTCCAAGCATATCACTTTCACTGCAGCTAAGCACATATACCAAATTCATAACCAACTACCATGCAAATCAAACCCTTTAATAACCCTAACCTCACCTTGCAGACGAAATTCACGCCAATTGTTGCGAAACCGGGTGAAAGCGTGAAGATCGACAGTAAGCCGCTGAAGGAGATTCCTCCAGTAGAGAAAGCTCCAATTGAAATGAGCAGCATCAGCAACAAGGTGGGCAGGCAGTGCTCTTGGCACTTGCTGTGTGACTTGCATGGGTATGGATTCTGTTGTTTTTTTGCATGTTTGGAGTGAACTTACCTTCTTTTTGCACTGCTCGTTGAAACTCGTCATATATGGACGAGTTTTTCTGTTATGTTTTCAGTGTAAATGTGTGGAATTTGACTTATAGCACGAGCATTATGTGATGTATCAAACGTATCGCGAATGTCGCTCGGCAATGTCCGACTACCTGGAGCCGATCTACATCGAGGAGGAAGATGGTGCTGTCCAGCGAACGGTGTACGAGTTTTCACCCCGACCACGCGAGCGCGTCGTCAGTTTCCACATGATTCGGGTCGGTAGTAGTGTTTGTTTAATTATTTATTTTGGTATTAACAGAATGTGATTTCTTGATACTAGTGTGGCATGTGTACGAGTTTGCATGAATTTTCATACAGTTTGTAAAAATTTTTCGGTTTCTCTTGGTGTGAACAAATTTTGTGAATTCTTTCTGACCGTCTCATCTTCGGGTGAAGGTCTTTATATCCGATGGTATCCCTGCACGGGCAACTTCTGCAAACTTTTATGTTTTGAGACGCATGGCTTGTGGCAGATGTCCGCGGAAGGATTCCATGGGTGACGTAAAGTCCTCTTCGCGAGACTTCTTCTTTTGTGTGCATTTCTTTGATTTCTTTTTGAGTACATTCTTGGAATGATTTGTACAGGATTCAATAATCCCATTTCAATGACGTTTTATTGATTCCATTTCTAGCCTCAACCGACCAAAATCGGAGTCTCCAAACAAGCCCCGCCCACTGTTTCTCAACAGCTCAAACCTATCCAAGGAGAGCCAGGAAAGGCTGCGAAGTAAGTACTTTTACTCGTTCTACATTGCACTTCTATAGCGAGTGGAGGGGGGGGGGGGGGGGAGGAGGGGAGGGAGAGGAGGAGCCAAAACTTGTACTATTGTGAGCGCCACCAATTCGGAAAGTAAACAAAAAGAGCCCCTTTATGGAGCATAGTTCGAGTGACAAGGTGGTCCCCGGCAGTCGCATGCCACTTTTCACGTCGCGCGCATCGTTAGCGTACTGTAGCGGTGCAAAATGCGCTCGCCTACGTTTTTGCCCCAATAAGGCTCTCTAATTTCATGAGAGCTTCTATTCTCAACACACTGAATAAAGTAAATTATTTGCATTTATTGCAAGATAGATTAAATATTTTCTTAGGTTTATCATCAATTTCGATGGTGCCGCTCCCATCAAGGTTACATGGTTCAAGGATGGTAAAGAGATCAAGAGCACTTTCCGAAACCAGATCACCACCACTCCAAACAGCTCAACCTTGCATATTGGACGATTGGAAAACAATCACACTGGCTTGTACTTGGTGCGACTCGAGAATGTGGCTGGAACGGTAAGGAACCTTTGGCTAGCGAAAACTGGTCCCCGATGATTACGCTTTACTCTAGGTTGAATCATCAGCAAATCTGACCCTTTCTGCGCCAGCTGACAAAGGCAGGGCGCCAGACTTTACTGCAAGGATGAACGATCTGCGAATACCCCAGAATGGCCCAGCAGTCTTCACATGTACCATCACTGGAGAACCGAAACCTACTGTCAACTGGTTCAAGGTAGGGTTTACGAGAAGTGGTCTCTGGCGAGGTCAACTATGGGTAGTTATCTAGGATGGCCAAATATTGCCAAACGACGGCCGCTTCGAAGCCACTGATTCGAATGGTCAGTACAAGCTCTCGCTCAAGAATACACTACCTCAGGATGCTGGCATCTACGAGTGTGTGGCGAAGAACCCAGCTGGAGAAGCTAGGTGAGTAAGAGGGCGGAGCTTGAGTAAACTCCACCCGCTTTTGAAAGGGAAACTTTGTGAGTTGAAATTCTCATGTTCTGGGTAGCTCAAATAAATACTTAAAGTCTGGGAAATGTACATGGCATAGTTCATGGTAAACTGCGGTTATCGAGAATCTTACCCCACTTTGGCATGCAGCATTGCAGACACAGATCCTGAAAACCTTATTCAGTCATTTTGATTACCTTTTTCTAGGTGTAAAGCCCGGCTGAATGTGAACCTAGCCCATACGGGTAAGGGAGCCGAAGAAGGTCCACGATATGAAGCGCCGCGGTTCACTACCCAAATCCAACCCATCGTCGCCGACGAAGGCAAACCAGCGGCGTTCTCTGCGAAATTCACTGGTTACCCAGGTAACAAATCTTTTAAAGCACGCCGGATACCCACATCATGTATTACTGTCTCAGATCCTACTATCCGTTGGTACCGTAATAACGAGCCAATCAAGAGGTCGGCTGGGTATGAGGTTAGCCAATCAAAGGGAGAGGCGGTGCTGAAGATCTCCGCTTGTCAACAAGAAGATGTCGCTGAGTATAAGGTTGAAGCTAGTAACCCTGCGGGTAAAGCATCGTCGGTGGCTAACTTGGTTCTTACACGTGAGTTTATCATGTTTTCTTGTTTACCAATTTGTTTACTTTTCAAAATTACAGCCAAAGCTGGTCGAATCGCCAAAACCACGATCACAAGAGGTGGTGGAGTCCAAACAATAGACAAACCCGCCAGCGATGCCCCACACTTCGTTTCACGACTTAGTGACATCTCAGCCCGACAAGGTGCGTGGTTTCGTGAAAAAATCCCAAGCGAGGAAAGAGGAGTAAACGAACATTAGAAGAATAGAAGAGTACATTTCCAGTTCTAGGTCACACTGTAAAATTCTCTTGCGATATTGATGGTAATCCGATGCCAACGGTGCAATGGAATTATAATGGAAAACCTATAGCTGCCTCTAAGGACATTAAGGTATGGTTTTATATCTCTCTGTGCCAGGAGGGCAATTTTCTGGGACAGTGCTCTTTAAACAAATGAAAAGTAATGCTTATTGAAAGACTTTCAAACTCCCACGAGAGTCGGAAATCTGTAGAACACCGAATGTTGTTATTCATAATGGCGGCAGTAAGCAGATAGATCTAAATATCTTAATTTTTTTGTATGAATCTGATAGAGAAATCGTAACTAACCCAGTATCCAAACAGCAGCTCATACGGTCGAATTTGAAATTTGAAGCCGAAAAATTTAATTCTAAACATTTGCCCAGTACCGTATCAAGGACTTTTATTGATCTGTTCGGAAAGGGTACGGTACTGGGCGAGGATTCAGCATATATGTATCTCAATTAAGACCAAACTTGTTAAACGCCTTTAAAACAAAATTTAAGGTAGCATTATTATGATAATTTTTGAGTTTTATAGCAACCAAAGCAACAAAATGTCCAATGTCAATTTTTGAATAGCAACAAAAGCGACAAATATCTATTGTCAATTTTCTACGTTTTAGACTTTTTTTGATGTTGTAATCTTTTTGTTAGTTGCTCAAGCGTAGCCCAAAATTGATATTGTTTTTTTGATGCTGTAAAATAACACATTTTTTTTATCTCTCAACGGATACACATTTTTTTGCAAAGCTTTCTTTGCACAATGCTCAGTTTTTCTACCTTTCATTTTGGGACCTTTATCCAATATTCTACCAACCTTGCTTTTCAGATTAGCCTCGAAGGCAAGAAAGCAATCCTGGAGATTGCTCGAGTGACGCATAATCATGCCGGTGACTATGAGATTGTGATTCGAAATCCTAAGGGCGCTGCTCAATGCAAAGCCCGGCTCACTCTTGGTTAGTATTCTTCCAAAAATTTATTTGAAAAAAAGAAACTAGCGGCCGACTTCTTCTATCTCCTAAAAAATCTTAACCACTTCTGCTAATCGTTTGAACTCCATTTTTCGCCCCTAACGTCCTAATTGCCTGCTTCTACACCAACTTCTCCGTCTGCTCTTTCTCTATCTGCTTGCCAATATAACTCTTCCCACACACTAACCTCGAATTATTCCATTACAGGTCGATAACGCGCTCGGTAAATGGGGACGAGTTCTCGCCGCTGATAGAGTATTATAACAGAAAAAACGTAGCGATCTTTTCATTAGTAGAAACTTACTGTTTTCTTATCAGTGCCAAAACGCTTGTATCCGCTTTAGGGTCGTATTGATCCCGAAATTAATAATTCTTCTCGTTTTTGTAAATACCTGATTGTCGTCAACGGTGCGTGTTGTGTGCAATTTACTAGGAATGTTTATCGCTCAATTTTCTTTTCCTCTCATCTCTCTTTGTTGTTGATTCTATGCTGCTCACATTGACACACTCTCAAAAGTGCCCTTTACTTGACTCTAGTCTTGTGCCTTAAATCTCATTTCTTATCGTTTTTATGAACGAATTTTTTTCTGCATTGTATTTGCTTCTTGTTCACGTTCATTTTCAGTTGTCTCTCAATTGTAGAATACTGGACGGTAAAGCATTGCGAGAAAAGTCTTCGTTGTACAGATACAGAAAATTGTGTGAAAACCATCACAAATCAACATCACAAATATTGCATATTCCGTTTGGATTGAACCTATTTTAATCACCTTGAAAGTCGATTTTTGCCTGAAATGTTCTTGCAAACCTCTCTTTCTTCGCTTTGTAGCACACATATGCAATCTCTGTTATCTTTACACTCCAGGTGTACCATTTAATCAATGAAATACTGTAAGTATGGGCAGTCGTCCTAGACAAAGAGCATGAAGAAAATGTTTTACTTCGATACATATGAGCAGAAGAGCCTACTCATACGGGATAATCTATCCATCACAAACGAAAAAAGCGACCAATGCGAGTAAACTTAAACTATACAATACCGCTCATAATTCGTCAAAAAAATCGCCGGACTGTGGCGCACTCCGCCACACTCCGCCACAGTGCGCCGGAGTGTGGCAGAGTGCGCCGGAGTGCGGCAGAGTGCGCCACACTCCGCCGCAGTGCGCCGGAATGATCGTCAATTTAGTCATATCTCGCTTCAGAATGGACGAATTCTGAATCCGAGGACACCGTTCAATTCAGCTCGGCGAGACGCATCATCTTATATATGAAGCTGGACGTCTGTTTGTCTGTTTGCCTGTACGTATGCTCCGAATAGAAAATTCCATTTCTGAACCGATCCGGACCAAACTTGGCACACATACACTTCGGGCCCCGGCGGGTGTCATAGGCTACTTTTCGTCTCGATCGGTATCGATTTTATCAATTTTTTTTCAATTTTTTGCAAAGTTCACCTACGGAGCTGGGAGTTTGCATAGGGGGGTAGTCGAGCATGGGGATTCCGAATAAAATATTTTTCAGGATTATCGATAACTTTTATCGATTTTATCGATTTTTTTTGCAAAGTTTTTGAGCTAGGGGCTGGGGGTTTGCGCAGGAGGTAATCGAGCATGGGGATTCCGAATACAATATTAGTTTTCAAAATTATCGATTATTATTTTGGTTGAATTCAGTGTGCTGATAACAGTATTGCCATTGATCTGTCGCTGATGACACATAGACAGTATACTATAGGAGTTTGGTAGAGAGCCACTCTGATCGAATTTGTTCTAAGATCTGCTCAAGATCACAATACCGCGCACAGAATGTCAAAATTTCCGTGAACTTCGCGGTTCCGGGATTTCCGTCAAAGTGCGCGATAATCCGGGAAGTTCGCGACATTTCAGGATCCGCGAAACCATGCGATTCACGCAGAGTACGCAACGCCATAACTTCCTTCGGAATGAATATATTCCGAATCCAGAAGCAGCATTGTGTTCAGATCGTCGAGGCAAATATTTTGATATACAGTATGCTCTCGATCTTCCATTTCCAGTTTTTTCGAATCTTTTCTGTGGAGGTTTTTTCGCAAGGATGTAACGCAGCGTCTGTGTAACATAAAAGATTCCAGTAAGTACTGTTCGATAGTACTGTCGTTGTAGGTTATCGTGCGTTCAAGAGTAGCTGCAGACTGTCTCCCAAAAGAGATAGAAGCGTTGGTGAATTTTGGATAAATCACGCGTTTCTAAATTCTACTCGCCGTAACTTCCTTCGGAATGAACATATTCTGAATCCGAAGAAAGCTTTGTGCTCAGTTCATCAAGGCAAGTTTTTTGATATACAGCATATCCTTGATATTCTGATTTCAATATTCTCAAATCTTTCTGTAGACGTCTTTTCGTGAAGATGTAAAGCAGCGCGCATTGCCCCTAGTAGACTCCAGCAAGGACCATTCGATAGTACTTTTTCTGTAGATTACGTAGCGCTAAAAAGTAGTCACAGGCATCTTTCTATAGGAGTTAGAAGGACTGGTGAATTCTGGATCATGTCGTTCTAAATTTTCCCCAACGTAACTCTAAAATATGAAGTTCTCTTGCTAAGCAGATGTGATTTTCGTAATCAGCAGGTCGGATGACCCTTATAAGCAAGTTTTCCAAGATATTCGAGTAATTTCATTTTTTCTCGTTTTACGCTCTGAAGCTCGCCGATGGATTTTGGTCAAAATATTGATGCTCTTATGTTGTAAGGAAACTTCGCTTATAGAGGTTTTCGAACGCGCTCTTTACGATCGTGGTCTTTGAGGATTACAGGGTCTTCTTGGAGAGGTACGGTGAGGTGAATGTAACTGAATCACGAAAGCTCGTGACTTCGCCTCCACCTCTCACGTGTCTGTCAAAGAACCTGCCTGCTTGCTTTACTAGTCAAAGTTACTAGGAGATGTGCTATCGAATGGCGCAAGATTCAGGCTCCAGTCTATAAAATTCGCCGGGTTACGAGCCTATGAAAACACGTTCTCATGAATTTTGCTTAAAATGTAAAAATCGCAAATTTCGTCGAAATTCCACCATGAGTGCTTGTACAACACGCTGATCAAATCTTTTCACTTTCTTAATGGATCTTGTTGTGAGATTTGGTGATTTGAGCTCTAGCCACAAAACAGTTTTGATATCAATTGCTGAAGCACACGCAAGCACCATATTCAATACAGTGGAGTTATTGAGCGAAGCGAACATAATATCCGCAATGCGAGTGTCATACAAGCACTGGTGGAATTTCGACGAAATTTGCGATCTTTACATTTTGAGCAAAATTTATGAGAACGTGTTTTCATAGGCTCGTAACCCGGCGAATTTTATAGACTGGAGCCTGAATCTTGCGCCATTCGATAGCACATCTCCTAGTAACTTTGACTAGTAAAGCAAGCAGGCAGGTTCTTTGACAGACACGTGAGAGGTGGAGGCGAAGTCACGAGCTTTCGTGATTCAGTTACATTCACCTCACCGTACCTCTCCAAGAAGACCCTGTAATCCTCAAAGACCACGATCGTAAAGAGCGCGTTCGAAAACCTCTATAAGCGAAGTTTCCTTACAACATAAGAGCATCAATATTTTGACCAAAATCCATCGGCGAGCTTCAGAGCGTAAAACGAGAAAAAATGAAATTACTCGAATATCTTGGAAAACTTGCTTATAAGGGTCATCCGACCTGCTGATTACGAAAATCACATCTGCTTAGCAAGAGAACTTCATATTTTAGAGTTACGTTGGGGAAAATTTAGAACGACATGATCCAGAATTCACCAGTCCTTCTAACTCCTATAGAAAGATGCCTGTGACTACTTTTTAGCGCTACGTAATCTACAGAAAAAGTACTATCGAATGGTCCTTGCTGGAGTCTACTAGGGGCAATGCGCGCTGCTTTACATCTTCACGAAAAGACGTCTACAGAAAGATTTGAGAATATTGAAATCAGAATATCAAGGATATGCTGTATATCAAAAAACTTGCCTTGATGAACTGAGCACAAAGCTTTCTTCGGATTCAGAATATGTTCATTCCGAAGGAAGTTACGGCGAGTAGAATTTAGAAACGCGTGATTTATCCAAAATTCACCAACGCTTCTATCTCTTTTGGGAGACAGTCTGCAGCTACTCTTGAACGCACGATAACCTACAACGACAGTACTATCGAACAGTACTTACTGGAATCTTTTATGTTACACAGACGCTGCGTTACATCCTTGCGAAAAAACCTCCACAGAAAAGATTCGAAAAAACTGGAAATGGAAGATCGAGAGCATACTGTATATCAAAATATTTGCCTCGACGATCTGAACACAATGCTGCTTCTGGATTCGGAATATATTCATTCCGAAGGAAGTTATGGCGTTGCGTACTCTGCGTGAATCGCATGGTTTCGCGGATCCTGAAATGTCGCGAACTTCCCGGATTATCGCGCACTTTGACGGAAATCCCGGAACCGCGAAGTTCACGGAAATTTTGACATTCTGTGCGCGGTATTGTGATCTTGAGCAGATCTTAGAACAAATTCGATCAGAGTGGCTCTCTACCAAACTCCTATAGTATACTGTCTATGTGTCATCAGCGACAGATCAATGGCAATACTGTTATCAGCACACTGAATTCAACCAAAATAATAATCGATAATTTTGAAAACTAATATTGTATTCGGAATCCCCATGCTCGATTACCTCCTGCGCAAACCCCCAGCCCCTAGCTCAAAAACTTTGCAAAAAAAATCGATAAAATCGATAAAAGTTATCGATAATCCTGAAAAATATTTTATTCGGAATCCCCATGCTCGACTACCCCCCTATGCAAACTCCCAGCTCCGTAGGTGAACTTTGCAAAAAATTGAAAAAAAATTGATAAAATCGATACCGATCGAGACGAAAAGTAGCCTATGACACCCGCCGGGGCCCGAAGTGTATGTGTGCCAAGTTTGGTCCGGATCGGTTCAGAAATGGAATTTTCTATTCGGAGCATACGTACAGGCAAACAGACAAACAGACGTTCAGCTTCATATATAAGATGATGCGTCTCGCCGAGCTGAATTGAACGGTGTCCTCGGATTCAGAATTCGTCCATTCTGAAGCGAGATATGACTAAATTGACGATCATTCCGGCGCACTGCGGCGGAGTGTGGCGCACTCTGCCGCACTCCGGCGCACTCTGCCACACTCCGGCGCACTGTGGCGGAGTGTGGCGGAGTGCGCCACAGTCCGGCGACTTTTTTGACGAATTATGAGCGGTATTGTAGTCCTATCGGTGGAATCCGGCCAAAATTGCGTTTGCGAGATTTGCGGGATTTTTTTATAACTGCTTCTAAAACAACTTTATTTGCAATCTGCAAGAAGATTTAGCTCTAGCTTGATGAGACGAATCTTTTACTATACATTATGCCCGCAGTCCATGGTGATACGGTAGACATATGATACTACTTTGTTATTTTCAAAATTTGTTTATATGAGCAATAATACATGTTGATAATCTCATAACACATGACAATACAATACAATGCACTATGGAAAACGGGCATAATGTATACCAAAAATTCGTCTCATCCAGCTGAAGCCAAATCTTTTTGCAGATTCTAAATAATGTTGTTTTAGAAGAAGTTATAAAGAAATTCCGCAAATCTCGCAAATCCCGCAATTTTGGCCGGAT